TACTCTTTGGCAGATGGGAACCAGTAATTACAAGAACATTGTTAAAATCACAATTGTTGGCAACGGTTTACACTGTATCCCGTCATGCGTCCCCCATTTACTTCACTTTAGACAACGATTACAACGTTACACTGATAGCTTCCGTCTTGACCAAGCCTTCCATTTATAGCTTGAAGAACGTAGATTAATCCCCTGTCATTGATAATAGCAATAAGTGTCCAGAACACTGTTAAAATCGCATTTAATCGCGGAGTACCACTATTTTTTGACCAGTGGCGCCATGCGTGGCGAATCGCTGAAACTACTAGCCAATTATATGGCTACCAGTTTCAGCAATTCGCCACGGATGGCGCCACCGTTCAAAAAAATAGTGGTACTCCACGATTAAATGCGATTTTAACAATGTTCCGGTCGTTTATTGTTATTGTCAATGAGATGGGATTAATCTACGTTCTTTAAGCTACAAATCGAATGCTTGGTCAGGATGAAAGTTGTTAGTATAACGTTGTAAGAGTTGTTCAAAGTGAATTAACCGGGGTACGCATGGCGAGATACAGTGTCAACCGTTGCAAACAAATGCGATTTTAACAATGTTCTTGTGATTACTGGTTTCCAGCCGTTAGAGAATAGTAATCTACGTTCTTTAAACGTTGTATCTAATGCAAAACGAAGAAGAATCATGCCCGTTTAGCGGTGTAAATGCAATCGAAATATTTTGCAATCAAGTTGTCGCCCCATAAGAGGTTACGGTAATGCAGGCATAACTAATTTTATTAATTCAGGGGTTCTGCACTATTGGGTCCATACATTAAGTCCTGAGGGACAATTTGAGACTAACGATGTTTATTTTGAGCTCCTAATTAGTGAGATATTAGCATTTTTCCACCGCCAGAAAATTCACTCACCTGTCGGTATAATTTGGCTAGCAGTTTGAGCAATTTGCCACGGGCGGCGCCACCGGTAAAAAAATAGTGGTATTCCGCGATTAAATGCGATTTTAACAGTGTTCTGGTCATTTATAGTCATTTTCAATAGACGTGGATTAATCTACGTTCTTTAAGCTTCAAATCGAATGCTTAATTAGGTCGATATCTGTCCACATAACGCTGTAAGAGAGGTCCAAAGTGAACTAAAAGACGTACGCATGACGAGACACAGTGTCAACCGTTGCAGATAATTGTGATTTTAATGATGTTCTTAATATTCCTGGTTCCCAGTCGCTACAAAGAATTAATCTACGTTCTTAAAACTTCGAATTTAATGCGTGACGAGGAAGAATCATGCCTGTTTAGCGGTGTAAACGCGATAGAAACCTGTTGCAAGTAGGGTTGTCGCCCCATAAGGGGCTACGGTAATACAGGCATAACTAATTTTACTAATTCAGGGGTTTTGCCCTATTGGGTCCGTGCATTAGGTCCTGGGGGACAATTTGAGATTAATGACGTTTATTTTAAGTGATTAATTACTGAGATATTCGCATTTTTCCATCACTAGGAATTTTCACTCACCTGTCGGTATGATTTGGCTAGAAGTTTCAGGAATTTGCCACTGGTGGCGCCACCGGTCGAAAAAATAGTGGTATTCCACGATTAAATGCGATTTTAACAGTGTTCTGGTCGTTTATTGTTATTGTCAATGAGCGGGGATTAATCTACGTTCATTAAGCTACAAATCGGATGCTTGGTCAAGACGAAAGCTGTTAGTATAACGGTGTAACAGCTGTTCAAAGTGAACTAAACAGGGTATGCATGATGGAATACTGTGTGAACCGTTACAAATAAATGTGATTTTAACAATGTTCTTGTAATTACTGGTTCCCAGCCGTTAGAGAGTATTATTCTACGTTCTTTACGTATTATCTACGATTCTATTCTCTTACGTATGCTCCGGGGGTTCTATGATATCCCTTTCTCACACACGTGGGGTCTCTACGTATGCTCTGGGGGTTCTTTGATACCCCTTTCTCACACACGTGGGTCTCTACGTATGCTCAGGGGGTTCTATGACCCCTCTTACCAAGCTACGACACAGTATCATGGCTCTTACAGGAATAACAATGAAATAATAAAATAAGCTACAATTTTTTCATCCTGGAAGAATAGTTCGCATTTGATTCACTACACTCAACACTCACAGGGAGTTGAGGTCTTCAACGAGGTGTGTATATAAACAAGTGAAATAATACGAAAGATTTAGCATATATTATATGAACAAAGGTCGTTTAAAACTTTATAAAACAGTTATGAGAAAAATTCGAAATACGAAGGGAACAGTAACGAACTGCGACTCGATTCGATGATTGTTTATTTTCTTATTCATATCAGATATGTAACAGTGCTTTATAAAAATGTTATACATAAAAAAGTTTCGTAGCGATATACATTGCATAATATATATTTAGGCTTCTATTGTTCTCCTTTTGATTACTCAAATGTTTCTTCTCATGTTTCAATAAAATAGTCGACATAAATGTAATGCATTATTCCGCTCTTACAATCATATAAATAAGTCACGCAATGTAATACATTCAAGTGTCTTGTATTGAGAATTAAAACACTTGTCTTTTTCTCAGAGGAACTGTAGAAGCTCTACTAGAACTTAAAAGAAAAAAAAAGACTTAAAAGCGTGGAAATTATAATGAAATGAACATATATAGATACTATATACATGTTTGTACAAAGACGTACAAAAATTGTATTACAAAGACATTAAAAGAACTGAATAATGCAAAAATGGTCCGGCAATGAGAGCAGAGGGAACATATGTCTACTATATAAAATCTTTGGTATAGGGTTCGTTATTGCATTCGCTTGTATACGCACAAGCGTAAAGAAAGAAGTCTTCAAGAAGAATGTAAAAAAAAAACAGTTCTAAATATTCGTTAAATAAAATAATCTAAGTATAAATGCACAAGTAATATCCTGCTTGGCTAATGATTCACTAGTATGATATACTATATCTTAGCAAGTATAATTATAATTTTGTAATTCATATAAAATAGATTTTTATAAATTTCGTGTACACAGCTGTAATGTACAGTACACCCACGAGCAAACATGGATTCCGCTAGAGGAAAAAGCGGCGTAGGGATAACGGTTTTCTATTACTTGGTATCAGAAAGTACTGAAATTTATGCTAAATTAACGTTATATTTAACATTTATTTCAGTACTTGAATTAAATTTACCAAGTGGTAGGAGACCCTTACACTTACGCCACTTTTTCCCCTAGTGGAAGCCGAGTTTACATGCGAGGGTACATAATGTTTTGGTTTTAAAGGGAGGTCTAAATTGATTTTAAAGTTACAACTCTAAATACGTTATTCAGATCTTTAGTGTTTATCTTAGCTCATATTCTTTTCTCATAAATGTACGTAAGGCACCTGTAGCGATATGAAAATAAAAATGGAACGATCGCACTTTTAGTATAGTAGTTCATAACGTACTACTATTTATGGTTCCAATCGTACATGCTTGTGACACCTTTTTGGCAAAACTTTTCTTATGTCGCTAATATTTTCAACTTCCATTCTTAATCTGCTAACTTCGTTTTCATAATTCTTCACCCATTGTGTCTGCAAATTCTTTGCGTCAGTTAACGACCGGATTCTTTGATCCAAATTTGCGGCAGCAATCTCTTTTTCAGCTGCCACCAGACGTTCTTCCAAACGATTTAAATCAGCGTCGTCTACATAAAAAGGTAGAAATGTAAGGGCGTAATATAAAAAAAGAAAATGAAATTGGTTAAAGAACTTTCAATAATGAAATATTAACCAACCTATTTCTGGCAGATTTTCAAGCTCCTTTATAATTTCCGCTACTTCGTCTAAAGCTTTATCCACTTGTTGCGATGCTAATGTTACATTGTTCTTCGCTTGACCAACTTTATGGTATGCCTGAGAAAGATGAGCAAAGTAAAGTTTATATTATCTAGTAAAATGAAAATGTACTATGAAATGTACTATGTAGTATGAAATGATAATATGAATAATAACGAAAGCATTATGTAATCGATTAATTATATGATCAGATGGTGAAACGTGATTGCGCGGTTTTCCTAATTTTACGGTACTGTAATTTTTAAATATTTTTAGCTGTGAAAAATTACTATATTTTTCAAAATACAATTTTTTTTTAGTGGTTCGAAGAAGTGGTTATTAACTCAAATTCAATCAACTCATTTCTGTTATTAAATAAACTTAACTAAATCTCTTAAATATCTCAATTTCTACAAAAATAGGACGTATCGCGTTTTGTCACCTGACCACAGAATTATAATCTGCACTTTGACACGTATGATTCATGTCTTACTTCCGCTGTGATATTTGTGTCCTGGCCAATTTGAATTTCGTACTGTTTCATCATGGAGTCTGTAGTGTCAACTCTGAGGTGCAGCTTCTCAGCTTCATTTCCAACACGAAGTGCTTCTATTTTAGTCTTGTTTGCTTCAGTTCTAATAGCATTTGCCTTTGCACTAGCCTCCTGTGCATATGTCTGAGCATTTTGGGCCACCTTACGAGTATATTTGGCGTTATCTTCAGATCCACGTAATATTTCTTCAGCTCGTACAGCTAGCTCTGTCGTGTCTATAATCATGGTCTCGATGTCTTTAAGATCTTTCAGAGCTTCTTGTGCCTTGATACGTTCACGCTGTACTTCGGCATCAAATTCACTTAATTTCTTCAATGTTTCTTGAGCTTCTTTCAAAGTCTGATCGCCTCGTTTTACAGCATCATTCGCTTTTTCATTGGCTCCGTCCAATTCCGCCAAGAGTTCAGCAGTCGCTGCCTGCTGATCCTGCGCTCTTTCAATTAATTCCTCGCTTTTCTTTACTTTCTCTACCATTTCGTTAATCAGACTTTCATGACGATCTAATAACAATTGTGCTTGCTCTTTTAATCGCAATCCCTCGGCATTGACATTATCGACTTGATTTCGTAACTGCTCGATGTCAATGGTTGGGAGCGTCAAATCTAGAATCAATAAATCTATCGCCTCCTTAGACACAAACGACGATTTAGTGGCCGCTATGCTGGTAAGATTTTTCACCTCGTTCATGCGGTGCTCTAGTAATTCCAACTTATTTTCCAAGCCTCTAATGTCCTCGGTCAGGTTAGAATATTTTGATATAGCCTTCTTTGCAAGATTGTAAGCCTCTATAGTTGTATTCCGAGCTTGTTCCGCCAGGGTATGAATTTTCATAGCTTCGTCGACATTTGAGTCTGCCAATACGCGTGCTTCTTGTGCGATTCCAGTCATCTGTTTGTTCTGTTGACCGACTTGTTCCGCGCGGGACTTTGCATCAGCCAAAGCAGTTGCCCCGTCCGTGGCCAAATAATCTTCTGCGTCGGTTAACTGAGCATGAATCCTGTCGAGCACTTTTTCTGCTTCGTCGATGCTCATCAATCCTTCAGAAGTGGTTTTCTGTGCCTCGGAAGCAGTCAAGACCACTGTTTGCGAGACATCGCTAATTTCGTTCAACTGATCGCGCAACTCATCCAATTGTTCTACCAATGTTTTGTTCTCGCTGCCAGATCCCTGTTTCGCAATCTTCAGGAGATTTTTCACTTTGGTCTGAATATTCTGCAATTCCTTTTCAAAGTCCGTGTCTTTTATAACAGTCGGGCTACTGTTAATTTTTTTGAGCGTGTTCTCCAGTTCAGTCAAACGTTCTCTATGAGCGTCGGCAGCATCTTGAACGAGATTATAACAATCTGGACAATCGACGCAACCATTCTGTCTGTTGTACTTGTTTTCTTTGCAACGATCGCATCTTCGTCCTTCGACATTTGTAAGACACGGACACTGCCCATTGGCATCGCACTGTAAATCCTGCGAGCCGATGTTGTCGCAATCGCAAGGCTTGCATCCTTCTCTGCTGAAACCATACTGATACGGAAGACAGGCGTCACAACGTTGGCCGGTAACGCCAGGTCTGCATTCGCATTGGCCGTTAATGGGATTGCATGTACGATTGTAGGAACCTTCTGGATCGCAGTTGCATGGTGCGCATCCTTCCCCACTCAATATGTGATAATACCCTTCCTCGCATTTGTCACAGTTGCGACCGACTACGTGCGGTTTGCATTTACATTGGCCTGTCAATTGTTCACAGGGTGCTACTCTACCATCGTCAAGTTCGACCGTGCCCGGTGGATAGCACTGACACAGCTTGCATCCGTCTTCTTTCCGATCGGACAGCGCTTCTCCGTAATAGCCGGGAAGACACTCCTCGCAATGAAAACCAGCCGTATTATTCACGCATTTCAGACATTCGCCAGACTCGTGATTGCAATTTCGAACAGCGTTCAAGTCGATATTGTTGTTACAGTCGCAAGGTCTGCAAGCTATGCCCTTCTCGGGATTTCCAAAGTATCCGTCCGAGCACGTTTCACACCTGGGTCCCGTCCTACCCAATGGACATTCGGAGCAAATGGGGTCCGGATTATTGCCAAGCAATATACACGGCCCATTGTCAGGGCAAGGACACGGTTTGCAATCGTCGGGTGTGCCCTTTAACGGATGGCCGTAATATCCGCGTCTACACAATTCGCAGTTGCTACCCGCCGTGTTATGCTGACAAATACACTGACCTAAAAGTAATTAGTATTATTAGTAAACAAAAAATCTTAAAAAGAGAAACATTTTTATTGCGAGAAGCTTATACTTGGTTATACCGTTTTCATGGAGCGGGACCCTCGACTGATTTTACAACTAGGCACTAGGTTTGGGCGTAAAACCTGTAATATGAGACTTTTATCGCATTCGACCTTCGTTCAGGGCCGCTAATGTCAATTTGGAACTGCTTTTTTGGGGGGTATATTTAACAAAATTTTGTACAGCATACAAGTTAAAAAACAACCGGTTTTATTACACGTCGTCTACCTTTTCAGAATGAAAGAAACTAACTTGCCATTGTAAAATTGCTATTATATTCGTGCAAATCTATATTCGTCGTAAATAAATGTTTAAGTTGTAGCATTCACGGAAAATGTTCATATGTTTCTTAAACTTTCAAAACTATAGGTTACTCTTCGTTAATACGGAAATTACATATTACTGAGCAAGAGATGACGGGGGCCTGAGATGCAAAGTAAATGTATATATTTTCGTAAGATACACACGGCCCTGGTTGCGGTTTCATCAATGAGCCTTCGGTCACCCTCAAAGTGCCTCATTGTGGAACCAGTCGGGAGTCCCGCTCCACGAAAGCGGTATAACCGACTATATTCGTCTAAATAAATACCAGTTTCAGCTTCACAAATATCTGCGTGACCGTTACAATTGCATGGAACACAAAGAACGAAAGGACCACCGTTTGGCGGGTCGTGGTGGAATCCAGGTGCACATGATTCACAAAACTGACCCACGTAGCCGTGGGGGCATTGACAATGCTCTACCCAATCGGCAGGATCACCTGCCGCCCCCCGGTGTGCTGTTTCCAACTTGACGTCATCCAAAAAACCTCTACCTGCGAGAATATAGCCGTTAGGAATTTCACTAATGTAACCATAGCGTAGTTTCGAATGTCATCGACTGTGTACCTTGATGAGTGTAGGTTCCACGAATTTTTATAGCAGTTAGATTAGACAAGATGGACATGAAGGCTCGAGCAGGCAAATGTGGTTCCCAGCCGTATTTATGATGCTCATGAAGTTTAAAGTGGTACACTTGCGGCTGTAACAACGCAATGAATTAATTTAACACCAAACCTTCCATTTCTAGCTTGTAATTACATAAACAAACATGATTATGTAATACATTAATTAGAACAATCGGAAGGATGGATAATAATTTTTTAGATCTCAATAGATTCGACTTACAACTTGATAATTATGTTACTTCACTTACCGTCACGGTGGGTAAACGATTGCTCTGCCCGAAGATCGGTTGTGTTATCTGTTCGCCATTTCCTCCTTCGAGTATTATATCCCGAGCTGTAGGCGCAGGACCAGCCTCCCCAATTCTCAACGTAAATGATAAATCTTGATTGTAGGACGCTCGTTGATCACCAAGGAATCTGTCTGCGCATTATTGATTTTCCCTTAATATTACACATTCATAGTGCTTCTTTACTATTGATTTTTTTTCCATATCTTAATTTAAATATTAATAATAATATACAACATTATCATTGCAACACGGGATGCTGCATGCTTGTATATTTACCAGGGGCAACGAAATAAACGTTGTCTCGGTCCAATGCCGTAGCAGATATCGTTTGAGTAAGGGGATCATAATGAAGCGGTATCGGGTTTCCAGCAACGGTAGCTGTCCAGCGTTCGGCTGCTCTCACAAACATACTCTCGATCACAAGCTTGGAATAGCCAGTTGCTGGTCTGCACACCGACGAGTGTCCGTAACAAAAGCATGGCGTACAACCGAATTCATTCTCTGTTGCAAGATTGAAATACCCTGGTCGACATCTATTATCAAACGCCATTAAGTATAATTAGGACAAATAAATCGAATCGCTTAATTCAAAGATTGTTTAGAGTCAGCACATTAAAATCTCTATAACATTCTTATTGACATATCCGTTACCATGAAGTATTTTACGAAATGTTTCCTTTCTATATAGCATCGATCTGATGAATGTTTTCATCTGTACTAATGCTGCTTCAGTCACACTGGCGAGTATGAAATAATCAGTGCCAGAAAAGTGATTATTTGACTATTTTTTTGCTTTCTTATTTCGTTCTTGGAATAGAGATTCTACTGTACTATTCAAATATAAATTCTAATATCCGAACTAACACTCGACAACGTTTTCCTTCAACGTTTTCTTTACAGCGGCAAGTGCCGCTGACAGGATCACAATTTGGTGTGTTCGCAAATGAACCAGCTGTGTCACATTCGCAGGACGTACAACCGTATGAACCGAAGTTGTAGTAATTAGCCGCACAACGATCGCATTTGTCTCCTGTCACGCCAGGTTTACACTGACATTTCCCTTCTGTGTTGCATTGCAAACTTCTAGAACCTGCAACAGAGTTCGAATTATAATCATTTTTCGATAATACCATAATAGTAATTTTTTGTTTCGTTTATAAATATAAGAATATCTAACTTCACAAATGCTTTTTCTCCAATTTCCTCTCGAAGTTATGCTTTTATGGGAATTACAATTCTCTACATTCTGCTAAGATAATCAAACTAGTACTACATAACGTTTCCCCGTTTATCAGTTTACACAAACTAAATTCGCCTATTAGTACATACGAACTTCTAATAACTATTACCGTTTAAAGCCGAGTATAGTTTATAGTGTGTACGACTTTTAATCTTAATTACTCGGAAAAGAAGCAATTACATTTGTAATACATTTTTTACTAAAGTGGACTGATCAGTTTTCAATCTCATAACACTCCGCCTTGCGCGCAAGTTCTCCAGTTCTGACTTTAGAGAGGACCATAACCTAAATAATCATTATTCACGAACAAACTTGGAAGTTAATCTGTGGATGATACTATAGAATATCCATCGAGGTAACGACCTCCTTCTGTATGCTAATATTCAAGACACGGTTGAACGATGAACGCATCGGTTTACCAATTTCGTTGCAGTTGCAGGCAACACAGTAATTGTCTTCTGGACGCTGGTAATAGTTCTCCCGGCAACGTTCGCAATTCGCGCCATCACGATTCGCTCGGCAATCCAGGCAATGACCACCGTGGCCAGTCGCCTTATACAGTTCCTTATCGAAGTAGCATCTCTCCGAATATCCGTTGCAGCTGCAAGCTGAAAAACGATAAAATTGCAATTTGTTAAAACGGCTGTAAAATCGTAAACAAGCATAAATGACACAGTCCACGAAACATCCTCCCCCCCCCCAAAAAAAAGAAGAAATAGAAACTACTTTATGGTAACATAAACATTCATTAATAATAAATTTATCTAGATATTTACTAGATCCTGAGTACCACGGAAGAATCCCGTCCCATCTCGACGATGTTGATATCGTTACGTTCACCAATACCAATGCCACGACTAATATCACATTCCATAAAAATCCCATCGTAAATATTACAAACCGAAACTATGCCTGACACCAGATTATCCTCACTTTTCACGCGAATTCTTATTCATAATTCCAGGTCTGAAGAAAAATACATGAAATTCCGGTGCGACATGATCGCAAAGAATCTAATATAAAATTAAATCTACTCGGGGGAATTGTATATAGATTTAACAAATTTGTTTGTCGTTCAGAACCATCGTTTAAAGGGGAATCGATCGGAAACTCAAAAAAAAAAACAAGCAAGTGAGTAATTAATAATCTCTATCGAGACGATCACGTCGATTAGCAAGTGATTGATCACATCGTTACAGGATCACGATCATTCTTTCTATTCCTGGATCGATTGCATTCACGATATCCGGCGTAACTACGCGGCTTAATCGTCCCCGATAAATAAACAAATAAATGATCGCCGTGTGTATCGCGGTGTGTATCTCGGCCACTGAGCTCTCGACGGTCTCTACAGAAAAGCTGCATTGTGTGTGCCCCTGCTGCGCTGCCAACGATCCCCACTTCAGAACGCGCAATGAACGTAAAAGGTAAAGCTGGTTAGGTAATGCCAACGTGATCGTGAACGCAAACTCTCGTCGCCGCCTCGGGAACGCCGATACCCATAATGCCGTAGAAGAAAAATGTTTCGCCAACGCGGAGTACAAAAACACTCTTCTGAGGATGAACCGGCAATAGTACGGTTAAAAAATAGGTGGTAGGTGAAAGTCAAAGGTGTTCTTAAAATAAGCGAATGTATTTTGAGTGGTGCATTCTTAATAAAAAAATAAAAAAATCTTGTTTGTATTTTTTCACGGGGCACCCTGTCGATGTGTTCACCCGTATGAGGAAGTAGTATTTATGTTAACTAAGTAGTAGTATGAAACATATTTATTTAACATTGAAAAATTATTACAACATAAATTTGTGAACCAACAACTTTTAAAAATGGTTCATTCATATTTGTGAAAATCTATTTCGCAAATAATATCATTGGGCCAATAAAGTCGATTTCTATGCGAGGATATTTCTTTCGGTATTGCTTGACTAATAGCAACAAATATTGTTATAAATACTCTATAAATCCGACTCCAATCCAATCGATTTGTTTCGCGATAAGCAGCTTGTCTATCGAAGGCCGGCTGATTGTTTAGATCTACGTGTCCGTATAATAGAAGATTGTCAAACTATTTGAAATAATAACAATACTCCCGTATGTATTTGATAATCCATGAATGCTGTGAAACATTTTTGCTGAAGGAAGACAATTTGCATATGATTCATCTAATAAGATACTCTGAAACACTGAAAACCATCCTGCATACACTCGCAGTATTAAAAATATTTTTATACGAGATAAAAATGACAAAAAGTAACTTCTTCGTCAACTATAAACGTTATCCCCCCATTATTTTTTCAACCTAAGATTTGAATCACGAAATTGACGTATGATTTTCGAAATTACATTTCTGTCAACTATTGTAAAAAACGGATAGGGTACATGAAACCGTGATTTACGATAATGGTCAGCACTGTTCTTTGGACACCGGATATAGAACGGTGAAAAACGGTCGTTTGAAGAGCAGGTTTGCCAAGGCCCACCTACACACTGACCAGAATGCCGACCTTTCAAAGATATCCTCTCCCATCGCCCATACAGCTGACGGGTGTGTGTTAGTTCATAGGACACACACTCTTACGGCACGTTCTTTTTCGTACACTATATAACGTTCTAACATATATACATACTTATATTACGGGTCCCAAATACTGCAGACACATAATTTGTTGATAAAAACTAACTATCAGATACTACATATATTATTGTTTAATATGCCTCTATATAAATCTTTCTTTATATAAGGTTTATTCAAAACATACAGAGTGTCACATAATACCGACGTATAATGTTAACGACGAATTATCTTCACAGAAATGTATAAAGAAGTTCACATACCCATTCATTGTACTTGATCTTGTCTGTGAATTATGGGGTTTTGTCTTATAACTTTGACCGAGTTAACATGTGTACCTTTGATAATATGTACAAGATCTGCGGTTTTTATTTTGGTTCCAGTTCCAGAAAACTGGGTACAAATATTTTATAACCGAAAAATACAATATAAAAATTTGAAAAAGATAGTTTGGGTACTCACGTTTACATTCATGCGCATCTGTAGTGGTAGCCCGTCCCCAAGGTGCATCGTTGAAAAATGGCAAACATTCATTGCAATCGGGTCCCGCGGTATTGTGTTCACATCTGTATAAAATAAGTTTAATATACACTTTAACAAGGTATTTAAAAAATTTTAGAAAAACTAGAAAACCTAATCAGTTTATAATTTGCATAAGAAAATTAAAACAAAACCTAACGATCGCAACAGAATAAGAGGATTAATGCAAATTATTTTTGGAAACTGTTGTGTATGAAAATATAACATAAATCTACAAAATCTAATTGTAAGAGACTTCAATAATAGGGGAGGGGGGGATGATAAGACATTTTTTTAACTTTTTTAACAGAGTATATTGCATAAAAATGGATAAATATTGACCTTGGTTTTCAAAGGGAAAATGAATTGTGCAATACTTCTGCAGATGTTTGGTTTATTTGAGTAATAATTAATACCCATGTCGATCTCTGATTGTGTTAAGTAAATCAGTATTTGCTAAGATAAATACGTCTGCATCTTACCTACATACTCTGCGAGTTCTTCCATCCACGCTGGTACTGTTTACACATTCCCCCGCGTGGCCATTGCAGGCACAACGTGCACCAACGGCGACGTCAGCGATCGCATAGTAGTAGGATTTCAATACCTGATCATCGCCAAACACTTCGTCACCAAATGTGTTCAGTCTATCCAGAGTAATTCTTAAGTCTATAGCTTGAACCCAATCCTAGAAACAAAAGCAACGTTCAACATGAATATCTGACCATTAATTATTATTAAATCTTTTCCGCTATACAACCGACAAAATTAACATGAATTATATTTCTCAATTATAACAATCTCAAACATACATTTTAAAATCACTGTTTCATATAAAAAAAAAGACATAATAAAATCGAAAATTCGATGAACCTAACGCTATTTTCATATTAATAACTCTCTTAATAATGAACCTACATTTCTATTTTATTCTATTTCACGCCACTTCTCTTACTTTGTATTAGAAAAGCGTTATCCATGGAGCTTTAAAATCCCATAAACAGTATTTACTTCGAATCTTCAACAATTTTATGTTTCATTACATTTACTTCGTATTCGACAAGTATCCAAATATTTATGAATAGGATTGTATGTAACCCCTTAATATGTTACATTCCGTTGTGTCTTCTATACTTTAACCGTTATAAATAAAAATAAAACATAACAGCCGATATTTGAGCAGTAAAGTTTCACTCCTACCGTTCGGTAGAGCAATAAATGTCCAAGGGAACGAAGTTATACCTGCAACGCCGCATTTGTTTCGAAGTAGTAAGCGGAAGGTCGACCCTCCAGCGTGGAGAACGCAACCGTACCCTTTGTCAAGGGTGATATATCGGAATACTCCGAGGTGCACAGCACCCTCGTGTCGTCACCTCTCACGGTCTCCTTCAAGTCCGGCAGACCGTAATTGTCTCTGCAAGACGCAGAATAAAACTGATAAGCCTCCCATGACGAGTCCTCGTTTCTCCTTTTGTAGATGCCCCAGCTTTCCGGACGCGGTGACTCGAAAAGCACTCTGACGTACGTTATGTCGAACGTCTTACCTGTAATTAGATTCGTTTCAAAGAGCTTTGCGAGGAACAAAAATGTGTAAATTAAAATATCTACCAGGCGTACTGAACGACTTACGTATATAATAATGTCTAAAATATTTCCAACTTAACCTTAACCCTTTACACTCGATTGTCCCCTCTGGAGGGACAAAGTGTATGGGGAATTAAGAAATTCGGAGTGCAAAGGGTTAATCTGATAGAGAGAAGTTAATATTATTTTTAGCTTTCATTATTCGCATAGTATTATTATTATTTATTATTTACGTAAATATAGAGAGGTTGTGTTATGAAATAAAACAGTTTTTTTTCATTTCTTTCGTGAAACTTCTGGACCTTATTACAAAAACCAAAATAGTATCGAAATTAATATTAATATTTTGCGAGTTTTCGTTTAATTTAGTTAGCCAAAAATATCAGTATTATACGGGTACTTTATACTATAAGGGATGTCACGAAAGCGTTAATGAATTCTACGTTACCGTATGCCCTCCCGCTATCATTTAAAGTTAAATCACATTGACTTTGAATATCAAAATTACGGAGAAATAAATTACATTTACGCCACTGTGGTTCACTCCCACGTTTGCTTATATAGAGCAAACGCGATTAATTAAAATCGTTATTCTACATTGTTAAAATTATATTTCATAAATGTTATCATTGGACTGCAGATGTTTACATAAGTTCAAAATTTTGTTGATTAATTATTAAAAACGGGATCGGAAGCACAATTTATTTCCTTTACCAAGACTAGCATTCGATTGAGAATGAAATAAAAATTTCATTAAACTTTGTTGATAAAATCGTGAAATGTGGAGACACAATTGTAAATGCAGTTACGATCAAAACTAAAAAGAATTACGAAGCGTTATGCTGGTATTAAAAATTTATTATGGGACGAGTTCTACGCCACTGGGATCTTCAGTGTAAAGCCAGCGGGGTGCAAGTGGCTGATTCTTTCGTGAATGAACATGTGGTGCACAGACAGAGATTCTACGAAGTTCCCATTTTTACGAAGTCTACTATTATCCGGATTCTTGGTGCCGTCTTATAAACCGTCTTCTATTCATTACAATTATTTGTTAATAGAATATCAATTACACCGCGATAAGAAATGGAATTTAATAAGTGCGAACGCGTTTGTGGCCTCGGAATAGTTTAGAAGATTATCTTCTAACGGCACACGCTATTAACGAATGCAGAAATTGCAATGTCAGCCTTCTTCTAATCGCAGTAGCTTTCCTTTCGCTGCAGTGATCTTTTCTGTACTTGTTTATTCAATAAGAAAACACCTGTACATTATTCAATATACTTATAATTTTAATGAGAAACTTAACCGATATTATAGCGAATGATAATCGAAAATGTCCAAATCCCCAAAGATCAAATATGACAGCTTACAAAACGAGAAACTCGAGCCCGTCAAAAAATAAAATATTCAAGCTCGAGCTCCATATGCCATGCCTGTGTTTCTTCATCGTTCGTGTTCCGAGAATTATCTCATCGTGCACGCATCCTGATAGATAAGGAAGTAAAATGGAAAAAGATGGCGGGGCGGCGCTGAGAGAGACAGAGAATAACAAACATTGAGGACGTGTTAAAAGTTCATCGGGGATACCGATGAATGAACTCTCGTTCTCTCTATCTGTCGTTGTGAGATTCACTAAGCTTTATCTAATTCCGAGAAGAACTGTCACGACGGTAATTTCAAGTAAAGTAATGAATCTCGATTGAAGGTTGGCCGAATCAATCTTAACATTAAAGATCTTTTGTGTTAGCAATTATTTGTAAAATAATCTTTTCGAGGTCCTACCTAAGTGAAGAGTGAGATTAACTTGGTTCGGATATTCGATGCCCTCGAACATTGTTTCGGACTGCCACCAGGTCGCATTGTCATTGTTATCGTGATCGGTAAGGAACATGGCCGGATGATCGCCGGGCCGACATATCTCGCAGGACTTCTTTTGAACGCCAGTCTGTTTACAAAACTCTGTTGGCCTGTCCTGCCCACACGTGTTCGTTGCTTCCATCGTCACGCTGAACGCTGCGTTCTCGAAAGGTGGTATACACCTCTGCAACACAGCACGTTCGACAATAATTTCTGATTAATAAAATTCAACATCCTGTTCCGCCGTTTTATTATACGTAACCTAGAATTATATTTCATTTTGTTAGAAACGAACAGTCTGCAGATTTTTAAATAAATTACCTTAAATTATGTAATTTTTAAATAATTACCCAAATTTACTTTTTTGGAGGCAAAGATTCAAAAATGAACGTGAAAGTCTAATTTTATTCGATCGAAGGATTTTTTTGATCAGACTTAAGAGAATCAGAAAACTTTATGAGGTTTTATATTATATTATATGTATTTTATTTTGTATATTATGAATACATAAAAGACGTAATCTAACTGTTAACAATTTTTCAATGTTACCTATTTTTTTTCCAAATCAATAAGAATAACGAATTTGTAAACATACGATGTACGGAAGAGAACAATGCAAAATATTTTCTGTAGGGGTACAGGCATTACTATGGAACCAATTCTGTACATAGTGTGGTCATACATTTTGGTCGACTAGCCGCAGGTAGTTTCGTTCTAAACAATTCCAGGAACAATTTTTACGGGGAAATCCTTATAAGGGCATGCTAGCATTCCAGAAGGGCTCTGAAATATCCTACTTGTTGGAAATTAAATTTAAAAAATAAAGATAATACGCAGATTTATTGAAAGAAGAGTTTGTAAGTTTGATAATTTTAAATTCACAACACTTCCGCTCCGATATCTGGGTTAGCTGACTAATTCATAAAATTTCAAGATATCGCTATTTTACTCTAACCCTAGACGCTTTGATAAGGAACATAAATTTTTAAAAACCGTAAATTTCCATAGATATTCATAGATTAGTTACTATTGGAAGCGTCCAGAATTTTCACTATTTATTACAGAGTAACAACTACTACAGAAACAAATTTCGTTTTCTAATTTTTACATTTCTTAAATGCTTTAAAGATTAGGGTGTTCGTCTACTTTTATCTTCCCGTGGCTATCGACGAACGTTGATGTAACTTCGAACCTTACTTTGATAACCTAATGTAGTAATATCCTCCAAAAAGTCGAAACTGTGGAGACTAAGAATAAATAGAAGCCTGTTCTGGGCTGTATTTATATGTCTAGACTAGTGTTATTACTTATAGTTGATTTATATCAGAGAAAAATGAGATAACAAAATGTTATAGCTTAACGTAACCCAGAGATAAAAAATATATACACATAAATTAGTTATAAGTATGAAATAAATCGATAACAATTGAGAGAGTACGAACCTGTGGCTTTCCAGTGTCATCATAACACTTGTCTTCATCTCTAGTTTTTGCGAATCTACTGTAAAGTTCTTCCGAAGGTTCAGGCTCCGCAAATACTACCGCCATGGAGATAACAAGTAATATTAACATCTTCTTGTGTCTTCCTCGCGTCATATTTAAGCTTCGCTCAATAGCCACTTTTTGTTTAATTTTCGATCCACTTTCTTCGGTGAAAATCCGTAGTCTAATTTGAACCCTAACTTTTTCCTATTTTTTTAAAGGTTAGGGTAAGCACTGTTTCTCGATCGAGTCCATCGGCATCAATGTGATCCACAACAAAATTTTTTACTTTTTACTTCCAAGGCCGCATTCCGTGAACTGTCCTCCCCTTCTTATCTGTCTAAGTTTTATTAATCCCCATATTAGTCTTGTGAATTTCTATTGCATCCTAATACCGAACTATAATATCACCGGCTTTTTTCTTTTGTATATGTAGTATAATTAAAGTATTGAGAATAGATAGATACATACATACATATAGTAATTCTGATATAGTAATTATATATGTAAAGTAATTCTCGATTAAATTACACATTTCTTTCAGAACCAATAAAACAATATTACATAAGTAAAATGAAACTGTCAAGTCTAAAATTTTAATTCAAAATAAGCGTTATATTAAAAGTTATTCTATAGGTAGCGTTTAGTTAGGCAACGTCTATGCATTTGGATAACTTTTGAAACTACAACGATTCTAAAACTACGTTCAATACTCCAAAAACATTTCTAAAATTATTTTATCGTTGCCTGTATTCAATCCCGTGAAAGCAACACATATATATATATATATAATATAAATCACTGAACGAAATTTAAACAGATATCGACCAAATGAAAAGAAAATGAAAAAACCAGAAGTGTTACTTCACGATTATCATTCGAAACAAGCGAATAATTTCGAGCTAAAAAAATCTCGCGCCTCCTATGGAGGGAGGAGTGATATCTGCAGATAGTTTACATTCACATGTGGAATGGAACACAAAACTGACTATAAATCGTTCACTAATTTATAAACGAACAATGCTCGCACCAAGTGTCACGGACTCTTCGAAACAAAAGGGTAAATTCTCGTTCTAACCTCTTCGACCGATAGAAGACTGGGAAACCGTGAAGAAAGGCTCTCTCCACGCGACAGTTCACTGGGAAACTGAACGAGAGGAGTCGTGAGTGAGGCTGTGCGTGGGGAAGTCGAGTGTCCGACGCCGGGCGTTTGTGGTGGTAACACGCCGCCACTCGTGGTAGAAAGTGCAGGCCAAGAACAGGCCGAGAGAAGCGCAGTGATGGAATTATAGGGTTTCGTTATACATATTATTATTAACAGAAATACATATATACAGGTACAGTTATTGCTAACCTAGATATTAAAGATTTTTAAAATTATTATATAAACAGTACACATAATTATCGAACATAACACATAATTTTTACATCGGTGTTTTTATTTCATATATAATTTGATTTAAATTCTCCTACCTATTTATGAAATCTGCAGTATGTAACACTCAATGAGACAACAAAATTTGACCCAGATTAATAAACTTTTTATCTTATTTTGAATTCAACAATCTATTTAATTGATGAAATTAATTTTTCCTTCATTCCGAATTTGATGAAATAGTATTTAAAAATAGCAATTGGTATGAAAAGTCGCTGTTTAGTTATCGGTACCGACTAAACAAATTTTTGGAAATTTACAAAAATTGTTTGGTTTTGTTACTTCTTTTGAAGATAGGTTTGTATTCGATGGAGGCCGGTACAAGAAGAATGAATTTATAGATTTATATTTCTATACGCGAATTGGAAAATTATAGATCGCTTTATTAGTGCTCGTACATAACAATCAGTATCTCGTTAGAACGGAAGTAAGAAAGAGATTACTCAGGAAACGATGACTTCTTCCTTCTCTTCCTCCTACACCTTTACATGTGACTACTTTTTAACTCTTGTTTTTGTACATTTTGTTCTGTAACACTAACACTGCAGGTATTTAAAATTCTACCAAAAGTCGAATTGTAAATTTTTGAAATCATAAAGAAACTATAAAAATCAGGCACGCTGACGATTGATTTCAAAGAATAAATGTTTAAATATTGGAAAACCGAAAATCTGTTTGGATATTTAGTCGCGAGTGTAAAATTTACTAATGTCTAAAATTTACTATTCATCGCTTAGGAAGCGTTAAGACAGTTATCTTTTTACCAGGAAATGTGAAGTGATATCATAATACCACCTACACGTTTACACTTCTTTGAACAGTAGACGATTAACTAACAAAATTTCGTTAGAATTTTAGTGTCTGATAAATGTTCGGTTTTACATAACCATATAAACGAATATTGAATAAAATTTTAAAAACCCAACACCTTAAATATTCTATAAAAATCATTTAAGCTGGTATAACAAAAAACTTACTGTTATATAAAAATATAAATGTATACTGTGTATACTTTCTGAAAATCGCTATTGCTAGTTATTGAATTCAATTATCGTTAAACGTTTAAAGCTTTAATTACTTAAATTAATATCAGTACGTACTATATTGTTAATTTTAGTACTTAAATAGACGTATTACTACATGTTTAGTCTATAGTCTATATAATCTAAACACATATGTACATCAGAATAACAATAGTTAATTCGTTAATTATTATGTCCATTGAGAAACGTTATCACAGTTCAAATGTTAACGAGCAAATAAACAATAAAAATCATCTACGTCACTTTTTTTTTTACGAAAAAAAAGGTTACATCCATGCTTGAATATTTTTTAAGGAACGATACGTTTTGTGACAATGATTTCGCCAAATTATGCATATTTAATTTTCCTGTCGAATAGCGTTGAAAAGTGTAGTCGCAATTCTTCAAGATTTTTAACGGCGTCTTCTTTAGGGATTTTCTGCTTGGTTGCTGCGTCGTTATCACGTTTAACGAGAATGGCATTCCAATTGGAGTTCTTCGCGCCGATGTAGTCGTTGCTTATGGAGTCGCCGATATGTATCGCCTCCTGGGGAGTCACATTGATACTGTGACGTTCTTTTGTTAACTTGATCGCTTCGTCGAAGATCGTGGGGTCCGGTTTCTCCACGCCGAAATCATAAGATGTTAAAACGAACGAGAAATAAAACCGTATTCTGGTGTCCAGAAGTATCGCTTCCAATCTCTCATCGAAATTTGATATCACCCCCAATATCAGGCCCTTTTTCTGCAGATACTCCAGTAACTCGATCGTGCCGGGATATTTCTGCCAGCACATGCTTGTGCTGTAGCACTTTATCAAACTGTTAGCAACCTAGGGGTCATAACGATAAACAGGGTCATCGATAGTTAGTAGCAAGTTCGGTTAAATGAGCTAAATTCGGCGCTTCACATTTTTTTATAACCTATTTTTGGAATTCCTTTAGAATAACTTTTATACGGTGTACTAAACAATAAGTAACTTGCAATGATGAAAGTAGAAATATTTACATCGAATAACAAGTAACAAGTTTATTAATTATATAGAACTTTTTATACAATTGTTTGTTATATAAATATTAACAAATTGTTAATTTACTTTAGCTTTCACTTAATCTTTTTTACTTCGACTGATTGGAATGGGTCGTACAAACAACATCGAGTTCTCGAAGGTTTAATAGCCCCGGGCCTGCGACTATGAAGCAGAACAATTCACAATATGTATACTTACATATGTACATATATTATATCAACCATCCGCACTTCAATTATAATATTTCGTTGTTTCACATTCTACTCGCGTAGTATTCGAGTTTGCAAAAGCACGATAATAAAATAAGTCGTACGTAATAATAAATGTAGTTGATTGATATAAATACAATTACTACGTTGTTTATTCGTATTTTTCAATAGTTTCGATAATTTACTCAAAAGTCTTAATGCGCATAATTTATCCGGATGCCAGCTAATCTTATTCGCGATATCTAATACAATCATGTGGCAGCATCCGATATTTGTTGTATTTAGAATAATGTACATCCCTGATATTATTACGATTATCACCTTGTCCAGTGTGGCTTGAGGGATGCAATTGTGTTGATCCTTGAAAACATTGTGAACTATCCGCCGCCACCAGTTTTCCCATCCAATACCTGTATGTTTGCCGTACACGGGATGCTCAATGCTTAACCTGTGGAAATTATTTTTGAAGCTTCGCGCCAATTTGCAGGGATCAACTGACAGGCCGTGCTGAGTCCCGATTTGGACGTAATGCTCCTCCAACTTCGTCATGAGCAACGTACCGGTGACATCGAATGTTACTAGTCGCGGTCGGACGAGCTCAATCATCGTTAAATTCTACCTACAAAGAATAACACCGAATATGTAACACATTGATCCCGCAGCACGTCTAGTTCGCGAAAAATAAGTCATGCCCGTTTCGCGTCGCGAACAGTACTACCAATCGACTTGCCTGAACGAAAGCATTTTCCAACACCCCGAGCGCCGCCAGAACACGATAATGAAAGTTCGAATTTTGACATATAAAGACGTATCGACTGATATTTTTATGACTTTTTCGTTGATGAATTTCGTATTGTTTTTTCTTGTGTAGTATTGACAGAGGTTATAGTTAATATGTGTATTGTATCGTCGGTGCTATGAAACGTATCTTTGTCGAAATAAACGGTATTCTGTTCAATTATTCGAAGGACTTACATAAACTGTTTCTTTCTACTGATACATCGTAAAATGTTAACAAGCATTTCTTCGATGTATTGAAAAGTTTATAACAACAGTCGGTTTAAAGGATAATATAAGAACTTACCTATATTATAACGAAAGCTGTATGAAATGTAGGCAGGTTTAACAAGTAACTCCTTAGATAAACTCATCCACCTCTTTCATCAGCAAAATGTCAAGAGTAACAAAATGATGACTATTCTCACGCCGTCGGCACGTGACATGTGTGCGAGAACAATGTTTAAACACTGTAGTATGTATGCCCCCTATTTATCAATATATCTTATCAAACAAAAACTAAATGTTATTCTTTAACATTACCTGTATAATAAAGAAATATTTTTAATTTTCATTATCTTATAATTGTTTTAAACAAACTGTATATTTGATCATAGTAGTTTCTGATACTATTTTAGAATTACGCACATTTTAATCTATTAATATTACAACGGATTCATGTTTAAATTCATTTGTGTGAAAAAATCTACAAATAAAGTGTATGTCGCGCAAGTATGCAAAAACTTTACTGCACAAAACAAGTTAAGAATAATGCATGAACTTTGTGTACAACATTTTAATCAATGCTCAACAATTGGAATAAGTACATAATACTTTTTCGCAGTTTGATCACGGCGCAGTAGTTAAAAATGTTCATTCAGTATGCGATTTACACAAGCATTTTAAAATACGCATACACGTATATATATATATATATATATAATGTATATCATCCGTACGTATATGATGTAAAAAAACTCTTATGTACAATAGTACCTATACAAAGACGAGTATAATATGTATACTCGTGTAAGGATATAAATTACAAAACATTGCTATTCGAAATATTTATAGAGTATTAATATAGCGGCGTTAAACGGTTGATTCTTGCCGCTCGTAACTGGGCGGCTTATGGATCGACCGGTAAGAATCATTCGAACAGTGTGTACAATAGTATGTACGTATGAAAAATTGCGAGATCTTATTGGAGCACGTGTGTTACCAGGGAAAAGGATCTCGAGTGAAAGTTTGACCCTTGAGCATTGTTATGCCAGTAATCCTAGTTATTGCGTGTGTGTGTAACTATCATTTTTCTGTCATTCAAATCGCACTGCGTCGAGTTTGACTACACGTTCGATGACCTCGTTTTCGATTTTGTTCACGAACGAATTACGATCAAGATCATCCATCCCTCCGTATCGCTATTTGGCTCGTACTAACGATATAAAAAGTTAACGAGGAAAAACAGTGTCCTTAAGAACATAACTCGGTAGAGCAGGGTTTCTCAAATTGCCTGATACTCTTATCAATGACATTATCTCTATTGATCACTTAATGTCAGCCGTTCGTTTTTCATGGAATTTTGCTACTTCTTTCGGTTTTCATTCTGACTTTTCTTTTATTACGATTAATTAAATATAGGATACAAGGAATTTCTACAAAATGTTTTCATTATGGGATTATGTATATATAATAGATTTTGTATAAGCATTTTGCACTTTCATCGGTCCAAGTTTAAATGCGAGTACTATGATACAATTGTTCGAAAATATTCAATTTACAATTTAACCCTCTATCTGCATAATTATATCGTTCTTCTAAGGAAATGTCTTCGGATTACCGCAACACGTCTTTAATTGCACTTTCATCGTTTCTTTTTTTTTAGACGTTTACGAAAAGGCGATTCGTAAAACTTTTCAATCCCGAACACCATTTAATTTTACACAAACCTATCGGTCTACTATAAAAACATAGAGGGTTAAAGTATTGACTACTCGATTTAAGACTTAACAGTTACCAGATAATCAAGCTTCCAAATGCAAAATGCTTCGAAACAATGTTTTTTTTTAAATAATCACCTAATCTTACCGAGATTCAAATAAATTTTTAAAGATCTCCAAACTTTCAAATACGAAATAGATTGAGAATCCCCGCAATAGCTCGATTTCTCGGTTACAATCGTTCATCAAACTGATGTACCTTCATAAGACCGTCATGTCGTATTGACTAATCATCACAGCAGAACAACAACGACGTAATATAGATAGATAATTCTATTTCTGTAAATCTGTATAAACCAAAGAAACAAAATGAGAGATACACTTAATAAAGAAAGATATATTGCGCATCCCCTAAATGTTTATGTATATACTATATATATATATTCACGTAATTCTTTATTTATCTATCAAAATTTGGTATTTCACAGACTTCTTTTATACGCGTGTATATATATAGATGTATATATAATTATTATTTCTTTTTTAATATAGTATAAATCCATTGATTCACGATTGGTGTTAATTTGACTTTTCTTTTTTTTTTAAAAAAACAATTTCACGACACACGATGGTGAAGAAGAATTATATATTTAACGCATATAGTCTACGAAATCGAATCAGAATAAAACGGACACGTTCCGTACGATCGATCGATTAGAAATAGTTACCCCCATGTTTCGCGTTCGTATTGTTGTTCCGATTTTGTACGACTGATGGTGTCTTAAGTGTTAAACTGTTTTATTACAAAGTTGTACATAGTTTGAAAGTGGCATATTCTATTTTAAAATAATTAATGTTTATACCATACAATATTTAATAATCATTGCGATAACGAGATATATTTGTTGCGGCAGTCGTCGTTCCTTATTATTAGAATTTCATGAACGTATGCACGAAATGGTACAATATACTTGCCTATCTCTAATAGTTGTATGTAAATAAAAGTTATCTGCTAAATACATCGATCAGTCTCTTAATCGTTAATTAAATATTGATTTAAAAGTTTCCGATCTTCTTGTTACTGCAGCACAATGCACGATGATGGACTAAGTTGTATTACAGTCGGAACAAAATCAATTGACCATTAACAACCACCGAACGCGACTAAACTTTACAATGCACCTCAAAATGTACGAATATCGTAAAAGTAGAAATTCCTGCGTCGTTTTACGTTAAGGGCGATAGCCTTTATTAGCCAATCGAGTTTGATCTAACTGTAAATATCTTCACGATATATACATATATACATATGTATTTTCTTTGACATGTTACAAAATCGTTTTATCAAATGCCTGTCAATCTCTCTCTCTCTCGATTTATGAATTACAAGAATCTAATATGCTACCGAGTTTTGTAACTGAAGTTCACTTTATTCATAAAAAAAAGGAACAAAAAAAAATGTTGTTAGAGACTAACACCAGTACTTTCGGCAAACATAAATAACAGATGTACAACGAACCGTTTAGAATTCCAAATCGAGTCTTGCACCACATGGTTCTTTTTGCGCGATTACACAAAATAAATGCAGTTATAAATTATCATGCCTCGATAAATTACTTAAAATTACAAGACATACAGAATCACTGTGAAAAGAACAACGATCACTCTTCACTGCCAACAGACACGCACTGCAGATCGTATGATCCTTCCCATTTAATTCCTATCTACTTTCGAGTCACTTACGATCCTTTAACCCCTTGCCTCGTAACATCAAGTCAGACACGCGATGACAATTTTAAACTGGATTTAATAAACACGTATACTATTTTTCGAGTCGAACTGAAATTCTGTTTCATTGGTATTAATATTTAAGATTTAGAGTAAATTGTTACACTTGCCACGAGAATAAAGATCCTTTTGTATCTGAGAAATTATTAACGATAAAATAATTCTCGAGTGTACAGTGTCAGAACAGACCGTAAGGCAAGGGGTTAAAATCTTCGATATAAAAAGTCCGACATAGAAAAAAAGCTTACAGGGTACATTCAGAAAGTCATTCGTATGTTCCATTTTCTCTTCTATCATCGTAAAATATTCAATATCGGAATCTGCCAGGTCACTGTAGTAAAATACTCGCACCACATCTTCCTCTACCTATATTTCTTTCTCGTTATCCCTAGCTCTCTCTCTCAGTCAGTTATATTATGAATTCCGAGGGCATTCGGAAGAATGATCGTGAGAAGGTGAAACGTGATACGACCAACCAGTGATTCCCCAAAAAGTCACACGCAGATCTTGCAAGACCACATTCATCATTATCATAGACTATATATATGTGTATATATTCATTTCTTCGCATTCTGAGTTCCTTGCCAACATGTTACATTCTAACGTATTCCCAACGATGCATTGCGTATGTTTGAATTTTGACAGTAGTAATGTACACGTTTATTTAAATGCATATAAAAATCGAGCAACGTGTTTTTTCTCTATGATTTGCTTTCTGTGTTCGTTTCATATAACAATCACTCCCCGCCCCTAAAAAAATGAGAAAAAAAAAACTGACACGTCGCGAACGTGTACATTCATATTTCAAAAGGACGCACATCCGAGGGACCATATGTGATGTTTTCTTTCAACTTAAAACTATCTAAATGATTGTAAGATTTACTGAAAATATGGAACAGAAGGTCTTAATAACGGAGTTGGTAATTTTAATGGTTTGCTTTATTATCACCAGTTTTGAATATCGTTTACCAAGAAATGTTCATACTTTTAGTTTGATAACTGGGACGATAAAGCAAGTATATGGAAACACTTTAGAAAGACAAACTGAGCAGAACAAATATTTTAAGTACATTGTGCTGTTGTTCCCAACATGGGTATTTCAATAGATCTTACAAACTTTATGGTTTAAAATGATAGTTTTCTGTGAATTTTCCATAAATTGTAATACATGTTAAATATTTACGAATTATTAATGTGTGTGTATCTTCATACAAAAACATTAAATTGAACTTACATGATAGCAATGCACGAGAATTTCAATTATGTTACTTTATTCAAACAGTTCTGTTTTCTCAAGGATGTCTAACATATTGGAAATGACATACGTTCTTCCTTAAAGTTAATGTAACATCTCAATACCTATGTAAGATAATTTGATGTTCATCCGCAGCTATTTGTGTTATTCATAAGTAATATAATTTTAATAGCTGCACATACAATATATTCATTTATAATCTTTTTATCTATAAAGTTTTAATTTATTATCCTCTTTCTGTTTTAAAAACACACGCAATTATTTATATCCTTTATGTATCACGCAATCATGTTATTTTCACTATGAGACCATTTTATATATATGTATGTATATCCATTTACAAAATTTCATTACGCAAAACTTATGAATGGTTCTAGTGCCTAATCAATCTGTGGGCACTATTTATAGTTCTCTTAAGATTTACATAATTCAAAAATTCGATTAATATTCATGCTAATTGAAAATAAATAATTCACCGAATATTGCCAGCAGATTGACCTGGAATTAAACGTTTCTCTTTACGTTCTTCTTCCCTGGCAGTGCTACAGAAAGTTTATTTCATAAAAAGCAAAGATTAATTTGTATAAAAATATATATATAAATTTACGTAGAAAAGGAATAATATATATTGCAAGTAAATAAACTTACAAAATAAATAAGTTAAACAAGTATTTCTTATTCTTTCATTTAGAGGAAGGATCATAGACAGATATAAAGATCATTTAAAAAATTATATTAGCTATGTGCTGAACGAGTATATCATAGAAATCTTAATTGTAATTTGAGCTTCGCGAGTCGCAAGATTCATTATTTCTGACTGTTAAAAGATCGATCTTACACGATAGTGCTAAATATATGGCTGTTAATCTATGATCCGTCCTTAATTCTTCACATATATTAATTATTATAAATCATAACGTGTGAGTTACAACAAAAAAAACATAGCTATTAATATTCACAATAAAGAGATCATAAAGTCTCCTAGTCCAAAGAAATGTACAATAAAAATTTGTCAAAGGACAAGGTGATCAACATTGTCCTTGGACAAATTGTAGTTTCGATGTTTGATTCCATATGAAAAACTGTTATCGTTTCCTTGTTATATAACGATTGTCAATTAGCTTAAGCCAGATGGGCAGCAAACGTAGTACTTTAAAATATAAACCCAGTGTTTGTCAGAGAAAATTCACTATGAACATTGCCAATATCCCAGAAGTAGAGTACTCTTAAATTTTGCTATTACCTATATTAAATTCAACTATAAAAATCTCTGATATTTTTCTTTATTTTTCAATATTAAAATTAAAAGTTCTGTATCATGTTCGATGTTATATAAAATCAAAACTATGTATTGCACATTCATAAATTTTTAGTTTCAATTCCGCAGTCAGATATTACATTTTAATAAAAATTTTTGTGACTGACCAAATTATTTGTAGTTGCTATAATGTAATGTCAATCTTTCGCACATCTTTGGCTTTATCATTAAGATTATGTTAACTGTACTTTAAAACTTGTTACGGATGTTAGTTTTCAATGGTATTGTGAGTTTATACGTTGCTTGAGATGTACCTTATAAAATATAATCTTAAAAACCTTGTTTGTTGTGATCATCACTCCTGGGTTCCGCCACAAAGAACTCGTCATAGTTAAATTTGGATACTCTTTGTGCGTGTATCATTCAATATTGACCATAGAATGAGAAAACAAAATAGTTTAAGAAAGTGAATAATCCAATGATCACAGTTAATCTGTTTCCTTCAACAGGTACTTTTATGTGCTTTTGTTCGGTAATGCGCCCATCTCTGAAAACTAGGAACTAACAGTTTTCACTTATTTAGCATTATACTTATTTCATATGTCAATAATTTGCTGTTAATCCATTCGTTTTTTACATTAATGTTGCAGTCACCCTGAAATATTATAACAAATTTTACTGGTCCAGTTTGCCAATCTGATTGCCATATTCTCGATCAATTTTCGCTCTCTACTAATACTGCCTAAATATATCATCATACCGATATGATGCTATTCAACAGACTTCATTTATTTTATTATAAAGTTACTCTTCGTTATTATTGCTATTAATGGGTCAGGATTTACAGTACCCGAACACATTCGTTCCTTAAGTTGAATTACTTACTTTTAACGTCATGGACCTTTGCATGAATCATATCAAATGCATTTGGTACAATGTAGCTATCATGACCCTAAGAAAATTTTAGTTTTTAAAAACTTTTGGACCCAAATATTTGAAAAGTGATTGGCATCTTGGAACTTCTGTACAAATCTTCACATATACAATTGCAATGATAGATAAAGCCCAGAAAACAAAAAGCTATGGATAAGATTTTTTACACCCATATATGGTACTTTAACTAATGCTTAGGACGAAGATACCATAAACTGCCACTTGCCGAATAATAATCTTATATCTCATGTTACATTATAATGTCATCACAGTATTTTGATGTACGTAACTAATTATTACACTTAGAAAATAATTGAAAACTCTCCACATAGTGCAGAACAGTTTCTGGAGAGTTAACAATTAATAAGTTCATGGCAGTTTATGAGTATTTTTTCTTTATCTATGCTACAAACGGCATTCAGTAGAAACATTGTGCTCTTTCTCAACTATCTTCCATAAGAATTATCTAACAGACGTGAAACGCGCTTCAAGAACTCACGTCCATAAAGACAATATCATATATAATTATATATATATCTTTTTTCAACAACCAACGATCGAGGACACGAATCCTGTGCAACCTTTCCTAAGAGCACTATCCATCTACCGTGTATTATAACAGTTATTCTAATTACAAGAATTCACTTTTTACCATTCATAACGTTATAAACTCTCTGTGTTCGATATGATAAAACTTATGTATATATATATATATATATGTATAAGAAAAAAATAAATTAAAACTCTATAAGAGACTGACATTAATTAGAGACTGATTGCCTTGAGGAGGCTGCGTGCATGGCAAAATCGACGAGTGGATTACTTGGGACGGTAACAATGGAGTGTGAAGTACTACTGCTTAAAGTAACATTGGCAGAAGAAACTAAAGATAATGGCTTACAGGATAATTGATCAATTTGTTTTATAGGTACCAATTTGATTGGCACATCTGTTTTTAACCTGACAGCTTCCGATACTGGTATAGCTTTTAGTTGAACACTTTTCAATGGTTGTATCTTGACTGCTTGTTTTACAGTAGCACTCGTATTTTGAATAATTTTGGTAACCTTACTCTCACCAACTCCTTGGTTGGAAGATTCATCGTAGCCTGAATCTGACGACGAGTCACTAAACGTCTTACTTGTCTGTTTAGAGACTGCTGTCTCTGTACCAGACTCTACACTGTGAGCAGGACTAGCAGACGCAGAACTATGGACAGGACTCGCTGATGCAGAGCTATGCGCTGGACTGCAACTTAATGCATTTGTTTGTTGTTGTCGTTGTTGTCTAGCTATACAACCAATGCAAGGTTTTATTAATGAAGGATCCACTATTACTTCTCCATATGGGCCTTTGAATATTGTTCCACAACAAATAACCTCCCTAAAATAGCGAAACAACAAAATTTATATATGTCAAAAAATTGAATATTTCTTTAATTATTAGTAAAACATGAATTATTTATATAAAATTAATAATGAAACTGACCTCTTGAAGTAAGACAGATCAATAAAACCGTTAACAGTTAAATCATCCTTTGATTCTGAAATATCCTGCACATCTAACTGTTTTTCAGTAACTGGAATATCATCACTACCTACAGGACTACCTGCCCGACTGGAACCCTTACTGCCATTTCCATTCAAATAATCCTCTGCAAAGCGAGACAACAACATTGTAATCTAAATTTGATTTTATAGTTTAAAATGTTTTTAGTCGATACTTGTACTCTTAATACCGACCTGTTAAATCATCACTCATTGCTGGACTTTGTTCACGATCCCTGTCTGTTTTCAAATAGATGTGTTTCTTCTTCATAATCTTCTCAAACTTTTCTGGTATATCTTTTATTTTCTTTTTATTTTTTGATTTGAATTTTGTCAGTGATTTTATACCAGGTCCAGCACGCGCGTCGACAACCTGAAATACATTAAAAATTTCATACTTAAGTAATACTATAATGAATAAAGAAATACAACTAAAAAAAATAATAAATTTGGTAAAACTCACATGTCTCCAATTGCGATTGCTGCCTGCTGGTAATTTTTTCCACCTTTTTACTAAGAGTACACATGCGTTACAAATTTCTCCTGTTCGTCTTTCCTCAAGTTGGAAACATTCTATAAAGTCATCCTCATACTTTTTACTGTCTGTAAATCTTGAGCTACACATAAAAAAAAGTATTCTTAATTCTATTGTTCCTCTTCTTAAAACAAGGGTTTCTTATTTCTTTATGGGCATCAAAATTATCTTTGTGTTTACCTGCTAGACTTGGCCTTACAAATGCAACACCCAGTACTAGATCGATACACCTTTGGCTTGTGAAAACTAAACATTTTGCACGTTATTTTGAGGCAGCTCCTGTAAATGCAAAATCATTGAATAACACTTTTAAGTCGGTGAAAGGTATCGGATTAAAATTTTGTAAAACCTTACATAAACAAAGTATATCACATGATAACAAATTCATAACAAAACCAATAAATGTTTATTCCAACCGAATTCACTCCAATATTGTTGAGAATTTATACTCGGTTTACACTTATAATTGTAAGTAATTACCTACAAAGAAGAATTGTATATAGGTACAAGGATATAATGCACGTTAACCGTATGTTGAACGCGTCCTGAGCGTAATGTACCTTTATTGAATACAGCATGTTTCGATGATCGTGTGTGACAGTAGCCGAAATTAGCTTCGTTCTGTCCGTACGGTATGTATAAAATCATGTATAAAATTCATTCGCGATAATTCGTCACGACGAGAAAAACCGTAGATCGTCACCATCTTTATTATACTCGTTTACATCGATTTGTTGCCAGTTTTGTAACTATGTAACACCGCGATTTCAGCTTGACAGTGTGTATACGTGCAAGACGCTACGCGCCGTGACGCACGCATGCTACTAGGGGGCGTCCATAATCTCACGAATCCCCCACTTATATTACACGATAAAACTGCAAAGAAAAACAACGTGCTGATCTGAAATCGACACTTCACAAAACACTTCTTTCTACATAGAATCACCACTAAAATCTGTCACTTATATTATACATCGTGATTGCTTATTTTATATGCATTAATGCTCAGAGTGTACAATAATGCGTTTTGAAAAAGAAAATCACACTTTCATCCAGCACGAATAATACCTTCTTTCCAGAAACTTATTAATGCCATCTGCCTTCTGTCGTGCGAAATTTATGATTACTGAGTAAATAAATCGTATTTTATACAATTAATTAAAGTGTGAACACTTACGATGCAGCGTATTATTTGTTACACATAATACAAACAGAGAGGAGTTTTGTAATTGTAAAAGTACGGTTTCGTGTGAAAATGGCTGGAATTAACTAGAAACACTTAATTCAATTACAACCCATAATTCAATTTACAGAAGCATTTTAAGTAGCAATTTATCAATGAATACATACATAGAAAGGCCAAATAACTTTGATATTAGTGCGATAAGCTGTCTCCAGCTTTAAAAAAGAATAAGAAACAGGAATAGGAAACTGTCCGTGTGCCGGCAAAACATGGGTCTAAAAATAGGAAGCGTGAAACCACAATAAAGTGCAATGCGAGGCTAACATGATGAAGAGTTGGGATTTCGTGAAATATCATTTCTGTTCCTTCGATAAACTTTTGTAACGTTAATTGAACCGTACCAGCTAACAAATGTATGCATATCCTTTGACTTATATCTGTTGTTCATTAAACATTAAACATGTACCTTACAAGATAGTGAGGTACTTCTGAAATGTCAACGAAACAGAATGATCTGTCGTTTTCACGACCTCATTTTTACAAGGGATGGTCATGTCCACTGATGCGACTTATATTTCCGAGGTGACCGAATCAATTTCGATATCTATTGTAAGTATTTTACAGCAAATTTTTTGTATTTATAGTACGCAGTGTGTGGATAAAATAACAAAATAAAAATTTTTATAAAACCAATAGAATTTTTATTTTAATCCATCAAAATTCTGAACGAAAAAAATACTTGTTTTGCGGTTGGTCTGTAAACCAGTACAGAAAAATGTGAATCTGCATAAACATCTAACAATAGTTATTCAGTCTTTTATTCTGTATTCCTTTTGTTTTAAGTAAATTTCGAAAACAGGGCAATGATGTCGCGTGGTACATCACAGACACCTGCCAATGAAAATTTGTAAATTAGAGGGGAGCGTTTAACTTAAAGAAGTTCGTTGTTCAATAGAGGAATATACGCGTGAAGCGGAATTCGAGATACAACACGCATCGTAGTAGGTGCAACGCGCGGAGGCAAACCAGTTTTCCTTCGATATGCCGAATTTGCTCTGTATAGTACCCTATCTGTCCTTGTCTTTCTCAAGGATGACTTTGCCCAGGAGCGTAACAGTATGCTCAATGATTCGCATGATGTTGGTATTACATACGTGCCTACACCCCCATACTCATATTGATTCATCTCAATTAACCCCAGGACTAAAAGAGGCCAAAAATCACGAGACGAATTCATTGCTGTTAAAATAGTTCTTCTTAAAAGATACTTTGTAAAAAAGAGATATGAAAAACGTAGGTGGATAACAAGCATCTTTTCTTAGTCCTTAACACGACGATTGTTTTTCTACAGTTAACATTTTATTTAACTGCATCTTAAGAAGAATTCTTCTATAACTATCACGGAATACTAATTACGGAAATATGTTTATAAACATATAATTAGGAAATTTATGCAAAATATAATTAATAATTGCAATAGATATAGTTTTTAATAAATTAGGTAAATTAATGTATTGGAAAGACTGAATGCAATTTTAAATCCCTATGCCCGACAGTGCACAGCCCTGCATACTAAACGTCTTTCTCCGTCCAGACGCACGACATATTTTTTTCCCTGATTCTGGGAGTGGCGCCATCGGTAGTTGAAACGACAAAGCAAGAATGTTGCAACGCACCTATACGCTTGTTGCCACGTGGTTTGTTGATCGGTTGCTTCTTCATCCCGATACGACTCAGATCTCTGACCCCACTGTGCGTATATTAAATAATACTCATATTTTGTGCACACGACTGCATGGCTTTAATATCGATAAAAATAACAGTAAAAACTGACAGCAATTAGTAACAATTTCCCCGATTATTACCATTCTAACAAATTCATTGTACATATATTTCTTTTTAAAGTCATAACATTAATATAAATTTAATCTGTTTATCATTATAATGATTAATGTTATCGTGAATGTGTCTGTAAGGAGATAAGTAGTAAAAAGGAATTAAAATGCATCGACGAGATTGTTCGCGTTAATTTTTTGTTATTTTGGATTGAAAATGAAAAGAAATGTACGACAAAGATGCTGTAAATAGTCACGTTAAAATAAAATGTCTAAATCGAATTCTCATATTTTTATTGTAACAACTGGTGTTTACGACATATCGTATCTATTTAAGGGAGAAATGGAGAAACAAAAAATGCATCGTGTCTGAACGACATGTCCCTGACACGCTAACTCAGTAGTTCAACTTTCGTTCTCACTTTTACAGTTGCTCTGCCGTTTTAAAAATAGAAGAAGGTACCATTTCCCCATGTAAATACGTGTCATCTGATTATACGAGTTTTTAAACAAATTGTAGAATGAATCGCGTAATTATTTACAAACTGAACAAACAATTAGTAAGATTACCACTGACGATAAAATTACTCCAGTCCGAGAGACTTCGATTTCGTTCAGACGATGTTTAACGATGTCGCAAGTATCTGATCGAGATGACCTACATTATGATAAAACAGGTTCCGGTATTTTGGTTGGAATAAAAATATCAAGACATATTTCTCTACCTTTGTGATATATAAAATCGAAGAGGCGAGATTTATTGCAAGTTATAGTGTATATTTAAAAATTAATTATATCTTGAATAGTGACAGTTAATTATGAGCAATATTGATTACAATTAGTATGTTCAATTATAACTTGTGTAGAACATGTCACAATGACTGTATGTTCACTTTACAGGATTATCGATCACAACTTTATTACAGAAAATAAATATAAATTTACATAAAAACTACTATAAATTTGATTGAACATTGCGATGACCCGTGATTAAAAAATTAGAGAGCGTATAATATTAAAAATTATACGTGTGATTTTTAAAAGAATCAACGATCTCATTTATCCACGACGCAGACATTTGGCACCATTGTTAAATTTTCTTGTTATAAGAATTGTTAAATTAGCAAAAAAAATATTTTCAAAGTTATTATCAGAAACAAGAAATGAAGCTGCAACGAAAAGATACAATGAATATGACACCATCGTTTCAAAATTCCCGTAGAAGGAGAGTGGATAGAGCTCATTCGTGAAAAAGTGCATAAGTCGGTAGACCGCGGATCCCGTCTAAAAATGTCTTGGGTTTTTTTTTTATTCAGCCGGAGGTAAAAAAACCTATCAATTTTCATAGCATATATAACATTGAACGTGGCTGTGAGACTCCCTTTTATAAATGTGTTGGGCTCCTACCAAAGATCGCTTGTGACAGGTCGTGTGCCATTTTCACGAGCAGAGACAAAAAAAGAAATCCACAGACAAACGTGGTGCACCGAACGAAGGACGTGCGCGAGCAGGAGACCGACATGGCGCGTGGCACGGTACGGTCGCCGCCATGGTCGGTTCCTTCCCTTCCCTCCGCCCTAACCAACCCCGTTCTGATCAACTCGCAGTATGTCCATCCGGACTATCGAATAAATGTAACATTTTCATTGACCGATTCCCCCGAAATTATTCGAACGGTTCCCCTCGAACAACCTGTGTGACAATACAGACTGACACGAACCTTAAATGAACAACAAGGAGAAAAGTCAGTGATACGATACCCGCCACAAGCGGGCACGCCATGACAGATGATACGGCACGCACAAACAAACAAGTCTACTTGCCAAGTGGAGCACCGCGCAGGTAAAAACGCGGGAATCGTTGTCGATCTGAAAGATGAACAACACGTAACGACACATTGATCGCTCTGATGATCCGCGAATGACCATTCGTGTAGGTTATTCGGTGTCCTGTCAATGCAACAGCCAGTGCCGACAATGAAAAATCCATGAAGGTACGCGCGGTACCTACGGCGATCTGGTGAAAGTTTCTTGTCGCAGTTGACATAAACTATCAAGATTTCAGCGATTACAATAACGTGCTGCGAGAACGGATTAAGAGAGGAACGAGTGAATAGGCCGGATCGAGAAATAAATGTCAAATGTATCGGCGATAATACAACAGCAGCCTGGCAGATCTCGTCACAGAGCCGAAGACGCTGACATCTCCGAACATATTTGTCCGTAACACATGAATAGTTCTGTGTGACAATCCACAAAGCTGCTGACAACACGTCGCATTATCAATACATCATATTTTTGCGACGCGTGCTCACGAAATTCACATTAAGATGTTAAGATTAATGACAGCAGACTCACTTACCTTTTCAATACAGGTGACGGCCAGATTTGAGAACTCCTTTGCGCAGACTCACGGCGCTGGCTCTCTTGTATACTCTAATCAAACGAGCATCTGCGAGCATTAAATTGGAAATTATTATTTTCGCGTGTCGTCGACTTTTTTCATTCTCAATAAACATATTTCTGTACAAATAAATTTTTTCCACACTGTTTCTGATTCATTTTAATCTTATACTGAGTTTAAAAGATGAATTTATCCTTATTCGTATGAGTTTGATTTCCGGTGAAGGATTTGATTTTTGTTGGACATCAGTTCAACGAAATACCACCAGGGCTCCGAGACAGCAAAAATTCATTTTTTCAGATACAAATACAACTGAATCGCTTATGTCAATCAAACTTCGGCTCGTAAATCTATATGTAAACGAGAATGTTCCTAAAACTTGTACGAAAATGTCTCCTATCAGAATAACTCCGAGACAGTTGCGGCAGCTTAGTAACAATGAATGCAGCGCCATCTTTGCGAGCAACGAACATGCTGAAAAAATGCGTAGATACTGGTTTCTTAAACATAACGCATTAAAGAGAAAAATTCTTTTATACGCACTATGTTAAATTCTGCCTGGATTACATTGAGTTAACGCATAATAAATAAATCTTAATAGTGTATAGTTCTTTAATATTGAGATATTCGTGATGGATGTTCAGTACTGCCTTTTGAACTTGGTGCACGGAAGAAATCTTATTGCATATCCATGACTTGCCATCTACTGGCAATACGTTTGAAACGAGAGAATAGATGTTTTTGCTTTTTGTTTGCTCAGTGGTCACTGAAATGAAAACAGCTGATTGTCTCGTTTTAACCTTATTTAGCGAAAATAAAAAAATAAGTACATATTGTCGTAAGCCCGTGACAACTTCAAATTATTGTGTCGTCTTCTAAGTAGATAGATTAGTCATTTGCAAATTATGGCCAGTTCAGTTAGTACTATTAGTAATGGTTATAATTTCAAAGTGGTTCTACTTGGTGAAGGATGTGTCGGAAAAACCTCTGTTGCATTGCGATATGTTGAAGACAAATTTAATGATAGACATATCAGCACGTTACAGGTAATAAATAAAGTCTTAATTAATTTTGTCACACTTTGTATTTTGTTTTATGTTTCACTTGTAACATCGTATGTTTTTGAAATACATTGATATAATGTTTTCATACATTTATTATCTTTATTTTGACATATCAGGAGTATGCTACAGGTGATATAAATTTTCATGGATTAATGTACTTCGACACAATTCAAACGGAAAATTATTTATTTTATTGTGGATTCTATTTCATTATAAATAACATAAAAACTTTATTGAATTTACTATATTGAGTATCAGTCACTCATTAATATGTGAAATCTGCAATCTGAGCATACAGTAGGAATTGTTGGAAATACTTCAAGATTTATCGGAAGTTTTGCTGTCCTTTAGGCCTCATTTTTAAATAAGAAATTGACTATAAATGGAAAGAAGGTGAACTTGGCAATATGGGATACAGCTGGTCAAGAAAAGTTTCATGCACTTGGACCAATTTATTATAGAATGTCTAATGGTGCAATTTTAGTTTATGATATTACGGATGAAGATACATTTCAGAAGGTATGCATTTAGAAAAAAATTATTTTGTCGTGGTGTCTAATATTGTTTGTTTTACAGGTGAAAAATTGGGTTAAGGAACTGAAAAAAATGTTAGGCAGTGACATTTCTTTAGCGATAGCAGGAAATAAAGTAGATTTAGAAAAAGATAGGAGTGTTTCTCTGGAAGAAGCTGAAGAGTAAGTCTTATTTATATTGGAAAATATTTTGATTTATCATGAATATTTCCAATAAAGGTAAATATTTTAATATTAGATATGCAAAACAAGTGGGGGCTATGCACTTTCATACTTCTGCCAAGTTAAATCAAAGTATCGAAGAAATGTTTGTGGATTTAACAAAACGGATGATGCAACATGCAGATGAAGTCGAACAAAAGTCTACATTAACAAGGACAAGCAGTACACGACGTAATGTTGTCGTAGTTGAAGATGAGGTTGAAGAAACCGAACCAGTTAAGAGTTCCTGTTGTGGTGGCTCTTCACAGGCATCTTAAATTCAGATGTTTGTTTTGAGATGGTTTCTACTTTTAAGAGAGTCGTATATATAAATGTATGTGTATATAAAACATGTCTTTGGTTTGCAGGCTACCATAAATATTTCCTGTCAAACTGACATACTTTTTTTGTAGACTTATAAAATGATCATATAATGATTATAAAGTTATGTTAATGATGTTTCTTCTAAACTGCATTGGTACAATGCAAAAAAATGTACTATAATATTTTTGTACAGAATTGAAACTATTTTTTGTTTATATTTTATATTCTTTAAGTCGAAAATATTATTAATTTATATTTATATGAAGTTTATATGTTGAGTGTTTTCTTCTTCTTTTTTTTGAACGTTACTGCACTAAAATGAATGACTAATGAGAATTAATAATAGAAGTTAAATAGTACTGCAATATTACAAGGATTCAGTGTTCTTATAGCATGGACAAGTAATTTTGAAGATTTTGCATCTACAACGATTGAACAACTATTATAAACATTATGAATTGAAAATCTTTTATACATATTTACACAAGTGAAAATTAATTTTAAATGTCTCTTATAATATCTTGAAAAACACTAATTAGTATAATTATATAGGGTATCTCCGAATTAGTAGTACAATCCAAATACAGTTAATTCTACATGAAAAAATGAGTGGAAAATGTAGAGTAAGATTTATGATATGAAATTTTATTTCCGAATAAATCGTTACTGAAAGTTCCTTGAGTACTTGTGAACTCGTCTATACCTTGATTTAACAGATCTCGCAATAGCTTAGCCCTCGTTGTTTTCATATTTATAAACATTGTCAAGTCCATGGGTTATAATCGTGTCAATTTTACTAGCTTAAACTTGTGAATACAAATTGTTAGTTTCTATCATTGTGTCGATATGGCTACGCACAGTATCTGAACAGCTAGGACAGAAAATTCTCTGGAAATACTTTATAGAAGTGTAATACACACATCAAAATTATGTTGCCCCGAAAAAAAGCAGAATTTATTTCCAACAATATTTATCTTAATAAAAAAATTCATGCATAAAATATACTTTTGTTTCATTCTTTATCCTTCAATTAGTGATACGATAAACCCAAACAGCAATATAAATATTTTGCAATGAGATCTGTTAGACCTGGGCGTACATAAGGATATACGAAAGTAATTGTTGAATATTGAATATCGATTGAAAATAAAACTCATATGAAAAAATGTTACTCTACACTGTTGACTTATTTTTTCATGTACTCATCACCTTTCGGGTTGTAGCAGCAGTTCGAAGACAACCCGGTATACAAACATTAATGATAATGTACATATTAATATTAGTAATGTTACTGTACAAAGTCTACGAAGGCAGCGACTGATAAGCTATGTATATCATGAAAGTTGTAATATTTTCTTTCTTTGAATAGAATGGTAAATTAGCTATAAAATGCGAAGCCTAAAAATAATTTAACTGAACGTAATATAAGAAATACTGATTATATTTTGAGAGTTGATTTTCATATATTTCAATATTTCATTACATTGACAAATCCTCAGTTGAGTCATAAACCAAATATATTGCTATTAATGTATATCATACAGCTGGAAGATTTATTATAATTAGCAGATGTATGTATTTCTGTCATATAAATGTATGTATATTTAAATACCATTGTGTTTTAATAAAAAGTTAATTAACATGTACATACGTGTAATATAATGTTATTTCTTGGGATGTTTTGTTTCTTATAGTTCACAATTTAGATTAGTTTATAATTAGTTACAAACTAAAAGACTGCTGGAAAATATCGTTATCTTAATTTAATCACATGCACGGCATTCATGAGACTAAAATACAAATATTCTACTCTATCACAGGTACATACGTGGATCACAAACATCCACAAATCCATCTATTGTAGTAATATAATCATTTTTCACAAAGAGTCATTAATTTTAACATAATTTTTAACACTAGTTTTATGTAGTTTTATGGATGGACTGCCCATGGCCGTTTGTGTGTGAGAAGAAAATTTTTTAGTATTGAAAAAAAAAATGACAATTCAAAAAGAACGTTATTAATTCCATAATATGCATTTCATGACACAGTAATTATCCTATTTTTGTATAAATAATCATGTTTTATTACAGTAATTTCATTCTATCGATAATAACAAGGAATGTAATTGAATTGTATCAGTTCTATATAGGTGGTCTGGGTTAGTCTTTTATGATAACAAAAAGTGATATTAGACAATTCGCCTCTATTTTATCCCAGAAACCCATAATGGCAGGACTATTTAAGAATATGTATAAGGATACATATTTAATCCCAGAAAGATTAATGTAAGTCTTTTATCCTTGAAGCAATAACAGACATTATGCTAAATATTACTATTACACAATACCCTGACAATGATTTTTAATCTAATTGTTAATTTACAATAATAATGATTAACAATTTCTATATTCTCCATTATTGTTTTGAATTAGAAAATAATCATGTAGATTATTTCCTTGTTTCCAGATATCTGTTGCTTCACAAGCTACAATTTTGTTGAAAGTTATGGGCCAAACATCACATAAACATGCTAATCACATCGACAATGTATTCCACTGTATTTACGCTGTAATAAGAAGTTTTATTGCAATTTAAACTCAATTTCACGGTGTAATGCAATCCCTTCAAAAATTCATTAAGAACTTTCATAGTTATGTTGTTACGAGGATAATTTCATTTAATCCGGCAAAAATTTTATATTACTATCCACTTTTGAACGTATATATATATAATTTCAATAAAGGATGCCATATATAATATTGATAACTACTAATTCGTTACATTTCGCTTTGGCTATACTAATTAACTATAACAAGATATAATTAATCGTTAAATAATTATGACTTCCATGAATCTTGTCATATTCACTTCTCTTAAATTAATAAAATTATGCGATCAAGGCATCCTGTACATCTTCGTACTTTTGCTTCTCTATTTTTAATATGTTGTACTAGTCCTAAATAATCCTAAATTTTACAATAATTGTATGAGATTTGCATGTATCTTTGGTATACCATTAATTTCCACGTACGTTTACACATTTTTTAGCTAGCATTCACAGTTCACTGTATTACTTCAATAACCAGTATTGTTCATACCGAAATCATCGTACCAATTCATTAAAAAATCTTGTGCAGACTGTATATAACTAAGCGCTATTTGTGACATTAGTAGGTATGCAAATATTTATCTGTCTGTATATTCAAATATAAAAATATTTTAATCAACGAAGTACGGATGTTATAATTAAATATGAATATTATACATGATTTGTTACGTTCGTTCCTCAAGTTCCAACAAGTTTGATATGACTTCGAAGAGCGAACACCGATAAATGAGATTCTTTCATTTTTCACTCTCTACAACGGAAATCTAAGGAAACTTGTCGAACTTCTCGTTAAAAAGCCTACAAAAATTTTCCTTCGAAGTTAGTTTTGTGTTAGTTTATACAATATCCAAACTTGGCAGCAAAAATTTGTAGGATTTCATTTCTATAACACTCGTAAAGTACTAATTTCGTTTCAAATTAGGCCTCCAACATTTGCTTCTATAATCCCTTTAAATAATAAATATTGTATCCTGGTGAGTGAATAGAAAATCTATGAATTGATTAATAGGACCTATTGCAGAAAGTGACATTCCACGCGACGGTGGTGCTCTGACAAGATTTGGACCAAATACAACAGCAAGATTACTGGATGTCATTTTGTTTAAATCACATCTATCCATTACCTGTGGAAAAGAACATATTTTATTAGAAATCATTATTCGTTATATTAAAACAGAGTTTAACATAATTATTAGAAAAAACAATATCTCACCCTTGATAAAAATTGTACAATGTACTTTAAAACTTGGTAGTTGTCCTCTGGAAGTTTCTCAAGAACTAATATCTTGACTTTTCTTGGACGTTCATCTTTCGACACAGCTGCAGTAGGAGTATTTAATCATTGTTAGATAGTTTACATGAACTGAAAGCAATGGAAATGTAGTAGACGGTTATACATACTTTGAAATTGTGTTATTTCGTCATATAATTCGTATGTCATAAGTGGTTCATCTAATTCACGCAGAAATGTTTTAAGAAGAACCGCTGCTATATGTGGATCTCCATGGAAATTGACAGGCAGCCCCTGATTACAACGACTTTGTAGTTCTTTAATGACTGCTACATTAGCCGATCGTCTAAATATCCCTTCTGTTTCTAATGCTGCAAACGTAAGATATTTTTATTATCACACATAGTAAAACATACTAACAAAATAATTAATTAATTGTACATACCATCAGGAGTATCAAGAAATTCAACACATTGCCGTACTATTGGTGGTATGGGATCACCACTGCTGTTTTCTTTTATGAAATGGAGACTAGCTCCGAACTGAGTGGTACCAACCGGTGTTGTTACCGTACTCTGAGGTGGACTCGTGGGTAAATTTTTTTTATTCTTTAACATTAGCTGTTCATTGTGTCTACAAATTAATATTAATCAATTAGCGGAGCAGTAAGATTACGGATGTAATGAACTTTTATAATAACAGAGATGATGCTCACTCTATTACTTGAGGAGGTATAATAAGTTGATCAAGATTAATATATTGTGCTAGTTCCTCCAAATAATTAACATACATCATTTTACGACCAAACTTCACACTGAAATGATAAAAGCAATAACAACATCGTTCTTATTAACTCTTTTTTTAATGACACAGGTTTAAGAATATCAAATATCCAAGAATAAAGACATAGAAAAGTTACCTAATGACTGGCTTGAATAGTTGCCATACGAATCTAATAAAATACGTTGGGTGTACTAAATATAAAGCTTTTAAATTTTTTTTATACTTTCTATCAAAAGCTTTATATGCTTGCCATAACCAGGAAAGTGGTGGTTTATTCTTCGAAGTGAGACCATAGTGAAAATAAACAAGGCTATAATCTTGTTCCACAAACGTATCTAAAGTATGTGTAAGATACCTGTTGTATAAAAATGTTATTATATGTACATATATATACACAGAAAAGTGAGTAAATTCGAACAATTTCAAAAGAAATATAAACAAACCTAAGGAACTTAGCATGATTAAATGTTTCTTTTCCAACGGGAGGTAATTTGCATGCAGATACGACAATTACTTTACGACCAGCACTGTCGTCTCCAACCACTTCTACAATACCGTATCTTGATATGTCAAGATAATCTTCTTCGTCTGCGAGTTCACCTTCCAATGCAGCCAAGTCCTCTGCTACTTATCACAAAAGATTACTTTCACAATAAAATTTAACATTACCTTTCTTCTTCTGTGTTCCCACTCTTTTTTTTGTACGAAATAAAAACCCAATATGATTTAATGTTAATACATTACAACAACTTGTCAAATAATGTTTCACTTCTGTGCACTGTTATACCATGCAATAATAAACTGTACAATGGTCTACATAATTCACCTGCTATGCCCCAAATGCCATGACATTTAGTGGCTACTAACAGAAGATAAAAGGTCACACACCGGATTCGATAACTGGAGCATCTACCAAAGCTTCTTCAAAGTTCTCTTCAATTGTGCCATCGCTCACTGGACTCTCCAGATAATCAATTCCGGTACCGGCGGCACTGCTAATTAAATCCAATTTTTCTTCTAAAAGCTGTACAGCTACGAAATAATTATTTTAATTATATTCCGCAGTAATTACGTTGAATTAAATTTAACATACTTTGGCAGACAGTTTGCAAATGTTATTTATTTAGAATTTGCAAACGCTACAATAACATTAACAATACGGTCATGAATATACTGCTGATTTTATACATTTTTAGTAGATGCAACTAAATGAAACACAGTAAAAGAAAAGCTTTATTGAAGTTTATGGCAGCCTTTATTTTTGGGTTTACCTAATGTAACTATTAACCCATGATTAATCTGACAGGTATCAGAAATTCCATGATTTCTATTTTGTCATATTTCCATTTATTTTGGTAACATTTCCTGCAATTTGAATTTAATTATTCTGCAAACTTTACCAAGAAAAATGTTTCAAGGTACCTTATATCCCACATCCTACATTTTAATTTCCATTTTTTTTTATATTAGTAGTGTGTGAATGTAAATTTGCATAAACATCTGCAGTCCAATCACGAATTTAGATTCATTAAAACAATAACATATTTAATACCTCTTTAATATACAAGTACATAATCCTTATTTAAAAAGTCAGTATTATTATTTGTGTTAAAATACTTTACCAGTATTTGAAGTAGTCTGTAACTCAGTATCGTCGAACTCCAAGTTAGGCTCATAATCATGATAATCTGACAAACTTGGGTATGGGTCTTCGACGTCATTAGCTATTGCTATTGTACAAACAGAATGATGCGCATTATTTTCTTTACCAAATATGTATGAATGAATCGCAGAACACTGCATCGACCAATGCAGTTCTTTATTTAATCAATGAGGTTTGTCTTATAAACAGGTACTTAAATATTGTTAAGCAACAATTAAGAAAAACAAAGGAAAACACGTTTGCGTAAGAGGTATCATAACAAATTGACGTCTCATAAACAGCTCGCGGTTTCGCGTTTATATATCATTTTCCCGATCACATTACACGGTATACGATCTCCGATTAACATTTCGTCGCTTTTCATCGATGTTTACGAACCGTCGTGAAACCGTGTATTATAACGAAAAACGAATTTTTAACAGATACACATATTTTAATCAGTCGACAGGACTATGTTCAAATACAGCAGAGTCTCCGATTTTGCGACACGCACTATCGTACTGATACGCGAAATTATTCGTCTCTTATTGACGTGCGTATTCACACGGCGGATGCCCATTGTAAAACGTTCTTTTGTAAGAACGAACAGAAAAACAAAGATACATGTTGATCGTCAAGTTATCTTTTAAATCACGATTCGTAAAGGGATACGTACTTGACGTGACGTTTATTTGACACCTCGGGCAGCGTCAACAATCGCGACATATAAGCTCACCTGTCAAAGTTCGCGTTGGGCTTAGCGTCGGTTGATAGCCCGCTTCCATTTTCTGGCAACTGCACGAACAAACAGTGCCGTGATTAATTAACGGGGCGTTTTGCCTACTATGCTTTATAAACGAACAACGTTTCTCTTCTCGAACGACATTATCTCGACGCGGTATGGCAAGCCGACGTATTCACGTCACGCTTTCATCTGTTGTGTCGCTAATTGTAATTCGTAGTCGCTCGTCACTCCCTTTCCCCACTGCGCGACTAACGAATATCTTCATACTTCGCCTCCTATTGGTCCGTCCTATGCTTTCGCGGGTACGAACGATGCGCGCTAAAAATATTTAAGAGTCACGTGATAAATTTAAACGTTAAATTAAGGTAATGTACATATCGATATATTTTGTAAATAAATAAAAGTTAATTATAGATGATTCGCTACACGACATCGTTGATTCTCTGAGTCGTGACACGATTTCAAAATAACATCGAAGGTAACTGAACTTTACGTGAACTCTACAAGGCGTAGGCTACACCTGTTCATCGATTTATGTTTCTCTGTTTTACGTTGTATCAGTTTACGGCGTAAACTTTACACGGTCAAAAATAGTCTTTTTTCTACTTTATGTGTACGGTAGGTAAGAAATAATTGTATATTTATCTGGTAGACTCGATTTACTGAATTTATGCGAAACTCGTACCATTATATTTAAATTGAACGATCGAGGGGGTGTTCAACTTAAGGTAAATACATGCATGTGTATACAAGATCTTACGATACTTGAAATTTATGTGATTAAGACAAAAATGTTAGATTAAAATAATAAGGAAATTATTTTAATATATACCTTTCTTTATAGCTTAAAAAAAATTAATGGTGTAGACGCTACTGTTATAGAAAATTCTTTTTATGAAAGTATATTACACCTGGAAAACGCTTTTATATTTTATTATAAGAATTACATTACAATTACATATCTATGCATATATAATTTGGTAAAAAATGCAATTCCTGTTACAAACATAGAACAATACAATTAAATTAAGTACTCCAATAAACGTTATACAGATAGCAATACAATTATTCATTTCCTTTTTTTTTTAAGAGACTAGCTTTATTTGTAAAAAATTACACAGTTTCATGAGGATTTTCACAAAAAACTCAAAATGAACACATGAGTTCCCAATTTACATTCCTTTTCAATTACATGTGTTGCACAATTCCAGTTTCTAGGCACACGTGGTTCCTACAATGGTAATACAACTTTCCCAAACAAGGTCGAATATTGTATTTCAAAGTCTGATGAAAACAGATAATTAATTTACAGTTATGAGGCACATTGTATGATGAAGTATTTTTAGTCGTAAAAATGGTAACTAAGTAAGATAGAGTTTTTGCTCTATCATGAAGCATATATTATACAATAGAAATCCAAGTGAAGACTAGTATAGAACTTGAAAATATGGATATATTAAAAATAAAAGTAGTTTATTGGTCTTAAATGTCTAAACTTCTAAATTACTGGTCTATTAGTTAATTGCATGAGGTCTATGTAGTACTATAACATTTAATCCAGGTCTTTGTTATTTGTAATAACTTACATGTAAAGAGAAAACGTATTTTCCATATTTTCTTGCTACACTTTTTCATTTTATTCTGCCCTAAATGTTTATATTGTATAAATCTAATTAGCACATCTACAATGGCATTTCTAATACATGAAAATAGTTCTATATGTTATGTTTATATAAATTTTCATGATTATTTTGATGTTATATTTTCTACTTATAATTTTAAACTTTTTTTCATAAGGTTTACAGAGAACTTTCATGTTATATATGTTTACTTATACATTAAACGTTATAGTTTTCTTCTGTGTCATTTAACTGTTTAAATATCTAATTTCTACAACTAAAAAATTGGCAGTTGGCTTCGATGTATGTACCTAATGATGTAAAGTGTTGTGTGTATTTGTGGATGTGTATGCTGACCAGAGCAAGGAAATTAGAGGCTGACTTTAAAATCGTTTTCTGATTGTAAATATAAGTTCATTTCTCAATTGTGGTTACATTTCATACAAAACTTTACATGTTTGTGGCTTATTAATATTTCATAATTTTTCATACATTGTGTTTACCAGTCTCTTTGTAAACATAAAAATAGATTTATACAATCTTATTGAATTATAGAATATACATATCATTCATGTGTGTATATGCAAAAGATATTTACTATTATCACTTCTTCTTTAGTCATTTTGTTAATTTGCAAAATACAACGTTTCCTGTTCCTAATAATCGCGCTATGTATGAATAATGATTATATTTTGATTGATTCACGTGAAAAGGCAGAATGTTCTTTTCTGTGATAAATTATTTCACAGCTATGGTTGATAATATTTCGCGGTGACAATATATATATATATATATATATATATGTATTCACAATATATTTTTCAAATCCGTATGTCACATTTGTATTTCTATACAGACAGCACAATAAATGTGCAATGATGCTCGTTATGATTATATAAATATTATTGATCGTATTGTTACTCGTGATTAGTCTTACCTTACGATTTAAGCGATAAGAAACGAAATCTATTTATAATACAAGTCCACGTGCTTGGACAATTTGTAAATGCACGGTATGTATGTATGATACAAAAAATGTATACTGTAAATGAATGAATTTAAAGAAACATACAAGTGTACGATTCGAAATAAAAATCCGTTCTATATGATTTATAACGTCAATGATTCAAAAACAGAACATTTGGTCCGTGTTTATAAAAATCAGTATGCACGATTCATTCGTAATCGAATGAAAGACTTATAACTCAGTATATATTTCGGTATGCATAAAAATTACATGTAACTTAAGCTTCGATTCGTGTAAGTTACTACGCTCCATATTTACAGTATCATTAATTTAGTTATTTGCTAAAATTCATCAATGAAAATATAGAATGGAGTATATGTACAATAGTAATGTGATGCCTATTAAACTGAATACTTAGGACCACATTTTTTTATTGGCGTTAATCTGAGGCCTTTAGCCAACATTTGAGCTTCAAGGTCGCGATCTTCATCTTGATACCTAAAAGAAAAGTATGTTTGCATTAACTGCTAAATATTATAACAAGATGTAATGATAACATCTTTATTTCGTGCAGATGATTGGTCGTAGTTAATAATTGATGCAAAAGCAAAAAAAAACATTCAAATAATTTGTTACATAACAAAAATGTTCATTATTATTTATTACAAATTTTTCTTCTATATTTATTATCACAGGCAAGATTACGTGGACATGTAAAGTTATACAATATACTTCCATTCTTTTAAACATTTGTGTATATATTAGTAATTGCGTTTTTCAAAATATGTATGTCTAAAACACTCCTGGTTCTTACCAGCTTGTGTAACAGTGATATGTGTTTCGGAAATAATTACCATAAACACATGAAATAACATATTTTATTCCTTTTAAATTATCCATTAAAGGATAGTTAAAAATTTAACAATAGTTACATCATCATAATTGTTATGTTATGATGTTATATTTTTAATTTCTTTACACGACAAAAAATACTGTTAAGTACAACTAAAATATTTTCATTCTTACGGTGGCACTTGTAAGAGAAAACAATAACAAGAAATAGTATCTAAAGGAATTCCATGCACAATTGGATCATGATTAAGGTTTAAACTGTATAAAAGAAGTGTATAAAAAATCATGCTTATATGCCATGCATTATAAATTCACGAATAACAAGTGAATGGAAGGAACTGTAAGAGAACACTACTTTGTTCATTAGTGCCGACTCAATGAACCTTTGTTATTTAAGAAAGCAAACAGATATTGAATACGTATTGCACTATAATAAAATTCAACATTTATAATTGAATCTTGTAATACATGATTATATTCAAAATTAATTAAAAAGATGGAATTCATTATAAAAAATTACTTTTTTGCATTTATGAAATTGTAATTATGTACACCATAAAAAAAGGAAGTCATCAAGATTTGAAAAATGTTAAAGGCTCTTCGTAAAAGTTAACAAAGAATTCTATCAAGTTAGTAAAGAACACATACGCGAATAATATGACTAGTAATGTGAGCGCCGAAGATGTATCGTTCAAGTCATGAGAAAAATTAGGTACATGCGTGGAACAGACAGTTCTATGTGTAGGAAAATGAGTGAGTGTTTGGCATGTAGTTTTACACCACCTCTGTCGCTCTTCTTCTAAAAGGGCGATGAGGGAATCCCTCTTTGCGACTATTTCCAACATTTCTGTCAAAATTTCTCCTTCCTTTTTCACATCGTCACTGGTCTTCTTGTCATCTGCGGAATTTTCGTACATTTCAATGCATGTAGAAATGATTTAGGGGTAACGCATTCATCGCTATATTAACAGAATGTGAAAATATTTACCATCGTCAGCTAAGCGTTCTCTTAGTTCTTGCTGTAATCTTTCATGGCGGTCTTCAAGCTGAACCTCCTGAGCTCGTACTAAAAGCTCCTTCTCATATCTACGTAATTCCGTACGTTCTTTCATGAGATCGAACCACTCTCTAAGTAAATCCGCTTCTTCTCGATCGGAACATTCTAAGTAAAAGTAAATTCTTTTAAGTATGCACGTTAAGATTGATTAGTAAATCGTGCGATGTTTAATCCAACCTCCTTCTCCGCGGAGTGCTTTCTCGACGCTGACTCCTCGACTCTCGAGTTCTCTCTGTTTAACTTCTGTTTCTTCTAGTTTCCTTTGAATTTCTTGAGCCATACGCAACCTTTAAAGTTTTTACAATTTTAATAGTTGTATCGAAAAGTATTACTTCAGTTAATATTCGTGATAAAAGTTCTGTGTGATGATACCTCTTTAACTGTGCTTGTCTAGCTATTCGTTTTGTAGTCTTTGATTTTCGTGAAAAACTGTTACACGATCCTTCAGTTACTGTGGCTTTCAGCATGCACGATGTCGATACTGCTGTTGTTTTCGTATCATCTTCGGATAGGCTATCATCTGTCAAATGGAATTCAGTCGATTCTCTTTAAATGAAGTTTATAAATTATAATGGTAAAAATATATTACTCTTACCTGACACTTGTGTAGTAGGAATAGTATAATTAAGCGGAGGAGGTGGGATTGGTGGTGGATTTTCATTTCGGAAGTTTCTTGTTAGCATCCCCTCGCAAATACTTTTTGGTCTTGCATTAATCTTTGGTGGTGTGACTTTGTCAAGCTGAAAAAAAACAACCATACTGTAGTACTCATTTTTTATTATAACTTTTGGGTATATAAAAAGATTGAATTGCTGAAATTGTACACTGCTTTAACATTGAAAACATAAAGTGTAATAAAGAAAAACCCTGGTAAAACACTGCAAGCTCAGCTATATAAAGTTAATGCAATTATAAAATAAACACTCACACACACAGAATTAGAAAAATTATACAGTTTGAAATTTCTGAAACTTTTACCCGAAAGGATAACAGATTGGATTTATCTATTAAAAAAGAGCTTATTAAAAAGATGAATGTAATATTAATTGTCAAAGTAGACAACCCAGCAATTTGTAATGAAGTAATACTGTTATCGATTTACATTCAACACTTATGTTACAGATACATAAAACAGCATGTTAAAGAAACAAATGACCAAACAGCACTTTATATGTACAATCAACATGCTTGATTTTAGGGAAGATTATTATTACTACAAGCATTTAACTGTACATGGAAAATAAAATTGAACACAGCTTATATGGCAATCAGTATGTTACCCCTTGAAAGCGGACGATAAAGTGCAGCAAACGAAAAATAAAATCATAGTACCTGCACGATATACAATAGCGAATACAAATAGTGGCATAAGAAAGCTAATACTGGAAAAATTAGTATCAATGACTTATGAGTTGCTTACATCAGACCCTTCCGAATACGATTTACATAACTGAAACATTTTAGAACCTAATTAGTTGTGAGAAGATCAGGAACATATTTACTTTTTGTACAACAGAAGAGATGTAGAGTAATACGTGAAAAGACGACTGTATACGTACTTTGCCTTTTGATTTAGATGTCAGACGGAACATAGATAACTTGTCTTTCTGATGGGACGGCGAAGGAGAGGACTCCTTTTTGAAAAAGAAGTCTGACACTGCTTGAATAATACTCTTTCTTCTTTCCGGATCCTTTGTTTTTTGCTTCTTATCTCTTTTCACAACTGTAATAGAATTGTTGGATTTCGGCGAACCACTAGCATGTAATAGTTGGTCCATTGATTTTGCATTAGCAGCAGATAGACCTCCGAAGTTTATCGCTTCTGTCACAGCCTTCATATTATCTGTGCTCTTGCTTGTCTGCAATTTCAATCCAGTGTTGTTTGCCCCGGCACTGTAAACTCTGGCTCGAGGTTCGTGTTGCACTTCTTCACTTTTTTTCTCGTCCATCGAAAGCTTTTCCCTGGCATCTTGTCTTGCTTTTTCAGCTGTTCTTTTCGCTTCTTCGTGTTTCAATCTGGGTGGAGCTACTGGCGTTTTAAACAAATTTCCTGCTTCACCGCCTGTTCTAACTATTGTGGTATTTTCAGTAAACGGAACGTTACTTATATTCTTATCATTGTATGTATCTTTCTCATTCTCTGGTGTCCATGGGAATTGCCGAAAATCTCGAGTGGATTCTGCCTCTAATAATTTCTTGGTCTCAGCGAAAGTGGTTCGCAGAGGACTATATGTTGGTGTTGCTATTGAGGCTGGTACAAATTTATTATTTGGTAAACCACCAGGGATAGGTGGTTTTATAGGCGACAAAACAGGCGTAGAATTGAAAGAGGAAGCTCTGGCAGCTCTTCTCGCTTTCTTTTCCGCGGACTTCTGTTTGTGAGCTTCTACTTTGTCCATCAACAAATCCTGTATCACATTCTTCTGCTTAGACCTTTCTCTGGTAATTTCTTCCAATTTCCGAGAGGTAACTGGAGAATTAAAACTGTTATTTACTGCAGCTTCCTGACTCTTGATCTCCTCCGCTATCATTTCAGCTGTACGAGATTGTACAGAACTTTTTGAATTCTTCCTCTTTGATTTTCTAACGTCTATAGAGTCTTTGGCATTACTGAACTCCGCGATTCTAGATTGTAGACGCTTCACGTATTCCAAGTAATCCGGATTGTTAGAATCTGCCACAGTTTTCATGTGCTCTTCCTGATTTGGTTCTTGGGTCTGGGAACTTAGATTTGGAACTAGTGACACTTGTGGATTAACAGGACTAGCAAGAATTGTGATTACTTCACTGGTAGTGGTATCTTCAGCTGGTTCGACAATCAACAGACTATCTTCTTCCATTGACGGATACATTTCCCTGTTCACTGCTTCTACAACGGGTTGATCTTGCCGTGTACTATTCAATTTCGTTTCTATGTTTAACTTAATTTCACCGTCAGGTTTGTTCACTGTACTATTCAACTTATTCATTACATCATCCATGGTAACTGGGTTTATCTCTATAACATTCCTGTCATTGTAAGCCTCCTCTTCTGAACACGAGTCATTTTCTATTTCCAATTTCGCTATGGGAGCGTCTGTAGTTAATTTATTTTGTAAACTCGTATGCATTGGAGTGCTCTTAATGTTCACAAATTCGACATAACCCCTGTTCTTGAGTAGAACCATATTGGAAGCGTCTTGTAGACTGTCGTCTAATAAAGAATCATTATCCGTATCCATGAAGTCTATGTTTTCGCCATTGGCTAGAAGCTGGGAGGTATTGTTAACTGGTATGCTTAGCTTCTTGTCAGATTTGAAAGAGTCCAGATCTATGTCTGTCAGGTCTTCTTCTTTGGCTATTGTGATTGGAGTATAACTTAATTTTGTAGAGTTCGATAATGCAGTCTTCCTTCTTGTAGTTATAAACTCTGGGTTAATATTGAACTCTACATCTCGTAGATCATCTGAGACTAGAACATCCCCGTCGCGAGCCCATTCTGAAAATTCAGTTTCAGTGAGTGCTGCAGTAGTAACATCATTCTCCTCGGAATCATCACGTTTATTGGATATGCTCGAAGCCACTGATGTCGGACTACTACAATTGCTAATACTTCTCTTGCCATCATCTTGCAGTTCCAACTGTTCAATTTCATTTTTTACTATTTCCAGTTCAACTGACGTTTTATTTGCAGAAGAAATTTGATTTCGCATAGCGGGGTTTATATTTTCATCTAGTTCTTTGTCTCGTAAAAGGGAACACTCTATAGAATCAGGTTCGAATGACTGGCCGTCATCGAAATCCTTGCACTTATCAGCTTCTTCGTCTAATAATAAATACCCGTCTGTGCTGTGGATTTGCAACCGTGGTGGGGATAGATTGATATTAACTACTTGTTGGTTCTGTGCCCTTTCTTCTGCTTCACCATCACTAGAAGATAAGGAATCACTATCTATCTCCGAGTCTCCGGTGCTAGCAACTTCCTTCGCTTCTTCGTTCTTTTTACTCCAATCTACATGCGGTACAATGATTGTTGTCTCATGCAGTGGACTCCGTGGTCTGAAACCATTGTTTTCATTTGCATTAGCTGGAAAGTTACTTTCCGTATTTTGCGAGTTTCTTACGTTTTCCAGTATTTCGGTATTTTTTATATGGCTAGGTACTACTTGATCCTTCTTGAGTTCTTTGTCCGCTGCGTTTTTTGACTCGCTGCAAACAATATTCGGGGCAGTTTTTGACTTCAGAATACTAGATTCCTTTACCAAATCTGGCAACTGAGTTTTCGAGATTTCTGGTAAAATCGTAGCCTTACAAATAGGGCTGTCATTATTCAGTAAATTCTGAGGTGAACGATTGGCGGTGTATGGTCGTATCGGAGATGAAGAGAATATAGCAGTGGGTGATATTGGGGACAGTTGAGTATTGTTTGATCGCAGTTTGCTCGTTCCCTGTAAAAATGCTTGCATTGTAGGGCTTGGCTCTGGAGCTGGGTTTAGAAGCTTCTGATGTTGAGAAATAGCATCGCTCAGATTTCGTAATTGAGTATCCACGTTTGATGTTGATCCAGATTTCATAACAGATCCGCCTAAAGCTGAGCCACCAAGTAAATACTTCTTTTTAAGTTCTAAAGACAATTTGGACGCGATACCCTCTGTCGAATGAGTTCGGTTCAATAAGTAGTCGCCTTTACGTGGATTCATTAGAGGAACTCGGTTCCTGTTATTGGATTCTAATAAATTCGAGTTACCTTCCTTTTCTGTCTGAGAAGGATTTGCAGTATGATCTGTTTTCGTTAACTGTAATTTCGGATCCGAATTTGTAATTTGCTTTAGGTTTCCATTGATCGATGATATAACTTTACTCTTCACTTGAACTTTCTTTGGCTCCACGTAATTTCCTCTGGTCTTTCGGACGTATGAATCGTTGATTGTGATTTTTGGAATCTCATGTTGGTTTGGAATCGCACCATCATGTTCGAATTCAGAGTCCGTAGATATTTCCGTGGCCGAGTTTTCCTCACTCTCTTCTGATGTTCCATCGCTAGAGGCGACCTGTAGGCAAATACATCGTTTAATAAATGAAATTAGCATAAAAATATTGTATGTTATGACGAAACAGAAACTTATTTTTAGTGGATTAGTGAAAGATCAAATAAAATGCTAAAGAACATATTGCATACCATCCGTACAATGCTCTGCATATAAAACTTCTGACTCTCGACACTCTTTAGAACTGAACCAAACAGATGATATAAGTGAGTTGTAAGTGTAACGTAAATGTATTAAAAAAAATATATGAGACTCCTAATTTATTAATTACTTGTAATCATTCACTCTTTACTGTGATACGAATCATGATGCTAGCTGCTTGATTTTTTTTTAAGATGACACAGTGAGATTTTTAATAAAGTATTGGCTGGTGGTAATTTCAGAATTAATACAGTATTGGTCAGTTACATTACCAGTTTTAGCATGAACACTAAACAAAGCACAAACAATTAATCGGTTTGAGTCACTGTTAATACAAAATTAGTTTAATAGATCACTCCATTCATATATAAAAATGCTTTACCTTTTCTTCAATGGCCTTGGGTACTTTTAAAAATGATACATCACCATCAGCCAACCGTAAATAATATCTAAGTTTACTTTATTAACATATCTCACAGAATTTTTCTAAACGTAAATCATAAAACTGAAAAATACACTTTCTTATATGTATATATGTATATGTATATGTATATATGTGTTACGACACTACACATCTATCTTTTTTTGATCTATCATTCTTAGGAGGCACGGATTTTGTAGATTCATACTGGTCAGTTTTGATTGATGGTGAAGACTTTGTGGGATAAGACTGATTCTGTTCCATAGACGTATTTTGCAATGCACAAGAATTTTTGGGTATGTCATTACTGTTATCAAATTCTACCGACTGTTCTAAATTAGTTGTTTCTCCTTTTACTATATTTTTATGTTTCTCATTAAGGATATCCGGTTCAGCCAATCTTTCATTCGTTGTTATAGAACTTGGTTGCATAGTAATGGCAGCCTCTTCCAACGCAGATGAAAGATTAGATTTTCTTTTTGCAGACTTTTTCCTTACAGGAACTTCAGGAACAGATGATATGTTCGAAGTACTAGAATGTACCAATGAACTAATGTCCTGCTGTACATGCTTTCTTTCTGGTCTTTTCGGAACTTTGTTTAGAATATTTGCAGAAACCGTGTTACTATTTATATTGATTTTGTCCACTTTCTTTAAAGTGTCGATATTTTGTTCGACAACTTTAACTTTCGCTATCGATTCATATTTCGGCGAGAAGCTTGCTAATTGACAAGAAGACTGAAAGCTTTTATGTAATCCATCATTAATAATACCTCTTGTTATGTTTAGATTACCATCACTTGCATGCAGACTGTTGTTTTTGTTAATTTCCATTGCATTCACTTTGTTGAGTTGCGGATTCAGCATTGTTTGCTTTATATTAATTTTAATATCTTCATGGGATTTAATTATATTCTTCGTTTTATCTCTATTTGATATACTTCCTGAACTACCATTGTTACATTGTGATATTAATGCTGGATGTTTCATATTAGTTTCTATATTGTCATTAACTGTAACATCTGTTTTATTTGTAAGGAGCTTAGTTTCTAAGATGTTACTGTTCACTTGAGGTAAAAACGTTTCTTTACCATTTTCTTCAGACTGTTGTATCATGACTGCTTTATCTTTCTGTAATTTATTTTCTTTCGAGTCAGTAGCAATACATTCATCAGATTGGATTGTGCCTTTTATTTTCGCTTTACATAACTTAATTTCCAAAATATTATTGTCTTGTTCTGGACATAATATTGTAATGTTTGTCTTTCCTTCGCATAATTGATTGTTCAAAATATCAGTTTTTTCCTTTATATCTTTTTCCTCTACAGAGTGCATTTGAAGTGCAGAAACTTTATCTTTTGGTTCTTTAGATGATTTCTCTACCATATTTACATTTTCTATATGATTTAGTACATTTGTGTTCTCTACATGCAATATCGTGGGTGGGACACTGACATCTAATCTACATTTTATATTTTCGTTGTCAATTGAAAATATTTCTTCACTTTGTAATTCTATTTGGTCAAACTGCTGACGAATACCATCAATATCGTTATCACAAAAGCTTACACTTTTATTGCATTCATTCTCAGATTTTCTAATATCACTTAAAATTTCCAATTTCTTAGAACTCTCAAGTTGTGTTTTCTCATCGTCACAGAGACTTTCCAATTTTTCAGAAGATTCAAGTGCTGTCTTTTGAAAGTATTTCATTATGTCTTTAGCTTCAACTCTTGTAGACAGTTTAGGTTTAATGTCCAACTCAACAATTTCAACGTCGTATGAATTCTTATCCGGAGGATTTATATTTGTCTTCTTTGGCTTTTGTTTTTTCTCCTCGACAAAATATTTATTCATCTTTTTTTGAGCATTCTCTGTGGATAACGGTCGAAGTTCAGCCACGGGAATTTTGTTTTTCGCTTTCCTCTGTCGTAGATCTCGTTTCAATTTATCGAATGAGCTGTTCCCATCAGACTGTACTGGTTGCTTACGGACCTCTTTAGGAACCGTTAATTTAGCGGCTTCGAGGGATGCTTGCGCCGATGGTTTTTCATTGGTCGGAGATGGAGATGTTATGGTTACAATTGGAATTTGTTCAACGTCCATTATGGATAGCTTCAGTTTGTTCTCCGTTTTGGTCAACGGATTATTTTCCAATCCCTTCGTATCATCTGATTCGAATTCATCTGTAGCTTTATCCAGATCATCATATATATATGATTCTTCGTATAACGTTTCATTTGATTCGAAAGTTTCAGACGAGGTAGATGGTGATGATTCTCCGCTGCGTTTTGGGGAAGAAGTTACCAGGTCTGGAAGTTTGTCCGTGAAGTTTGCAGCTTCTTCGGTGTCAAGTTGCATTCTACTATCGAAACTAGCCTGACTAATTGGAATAGCATCTGGAAGCATAATTCCTGCAAACTCTGTTTGCAGATGAGAATTTAATGTACCACTTGCATCTGGAGTTGTAATATCTGGACCAAGGGTTACATTATCATTCAATTCATTATCGGTAGTAATTACATTTTGAGGTGATTCGTTATTAACAAAATTTATTTTACTTAATTCATCATTGGCAGAAATTATATTTTTATTTAATTCATCGCTATCACTATCATTGATCTCTGACGTAGAAAAAACAAGATAATCTGCACTTGGTAGATCATTTATAATTTTTTTTATTATATTTGAACTTGTAAGAACATTATCTTCTATTAAACTTGCATATTCTGAAAAACATTCTTCTGCTTTGTTGTACTCATTTAAGTTACCGTCCTCTATAGGTTGATTGGGAGAAATATCAAGTTTAACAATATTACTTATTGTTGTATCTGTTATTAAATCGAATGGGGGATGAGGTATAGGAATTACGCTTCCACATGCTTCACTTCTGCGTGTGTTCCCTATTTGTTGATCTGTATTATCTACGGGTGTATGAATCTTTAACGTTTCTGTGTTTGATAAATTTCGAACATCGTCAGCGCCAATAATGTTCTGATCAATTACGATTTCACTATTTTTCATGTTTTTCTCCTGGGACGATATTAAATTAGAAGCTTGCACGGAAACAGATTCGGGGGCTACGAGTGACTCTTGAATTACATTCTCTACAGAATCTTCAGAAATTTTCACCTCCGTTTCCGAACCAGTGTCCGTGTCAGAACTGCGTGTTGGATGTTTCAACCAAACTTCTTGCTTTCTGAGTTCCCGAGCGCGTATGTCATCTTCATCTTCCGTTGCAGTAGTACTCTCATCATCTGAATAATAATAAAAACAAAAAAGATAATTTATTTTTTTTTTTTAAACTGATAAACGAGTGGGACGCACTTCTGTGTCAGGTAACTTTGGTGTTTCGTAATTGTAATTACATATGATATATTATATCTTAATTGTATCACAAATAACGGAAATAATGCGATCGTATCTTTATCCTGTTCAATTTAACGTCCGAGTATTCAAGTGATAATTTATAAATGTCGAAGCCTTCTACTATTGACGTTAGGGACTGATTGTGAGTTGAGTTTAGTTCGCAGCGCCACCGTTTTTATTCATAGGTGGCGTAACGCTTGGTATTTTAGAACAGATGATACAAACGCTTACGGCTCACAAAATGACAGGTCTATACTATAGTACATTTGTTTTTCTTTTTAAATTTATGATAAGCAAAATTATTATAATATTACCATCATTAGTATACTCATTACTGGAATCCTCATACTCGTTGCTGCCGGTGTCAGATTGCCCCATTGCAGCATGTGGATGAGAATACCGTAACGTCCAATTTTTAGCAAGTTCAAGGGTTCCTTCGGTCGTTAAAGGCTGATCTATTGCTTCTTCGTATACTTCGTTGTCGTCGTCCGAATCACTATTGAAATATTATAAAAAAAAGTAATAATAATACTCTTAGCGAGCTAGACGTGACTTACCTCATATCCGAGATGTCGTCACTGGAACCCATTTCCGCAGTGGAAGCACCAAAATTTCTATCTGTCCATTCATCCTCGTCCATTTGACTTTGTGGTTCTTCAGCATCCGATATGCCTGCCAAATTTTCAAATTCTATTCTTTCGGGCGTTTGCCCACGATCGAGCAAGTCAAGTCCAACAACGCCTTCCAATGGTATCTTTACCTGAAGAGCAATGTAATTGATGTAAATCTAATTTATATTATTGACTTCGAAAAAAAATGTGTAAAACAGAAATTTGTGTGATACCATTTCAGGTGTTTTTACATTTAGAGCTGCAGTAGGTATATTCTCTTTATTTAGCGTAGTAAGCCTTTTCTTCTCTGCGCGGGCTTTTATCGTACCAGCAAAGCCTAAATGTTGCGTGCAATAGAATCGTCCGCCATTCTTTTCTCTATCAAATGTATGGTTTCCTAAAATGGGAAAAGGAATAAATAAAAATGAATTAATGAAAAGAAGTGTCGATTATTTAGATCTTATATACTATTTGCATTACGAAAAGGAATATCAAACCTATTCTTAATGAGGTAGAACAATATTCGCAACGGAAACAGCCCCTATGGAAGAATTTTCCTTCGGCACTAAGTCTCTCCATCAAGTAAACTCTCTTATTGCAGAAATGACACATCTCCGAACCTCCTTGAGCCGGTAACGTTATTGTAGGTTTAACGTTCTGTAAGATAAATTTGAAATGCCGAAGTAGTAATTATTAATTACAAATCTTCAATACAGAAGAATTTTAGTCAGCACATTTTATTATGTTCCTTAAATATGCAATTATACAGCATTCTTAGTAACGGTGTTAATCGTTGTATTGTCATGTATAATTAAAGATTTATTATTTCGTATTATTATAAAAGAATTATTATTTCGTATTATGAATGTTATAGGATTAACACGAATAATAGAAGGAACCTTAACAGTTGAATAATATGTTTAGTTGGGGACAATTTATGTGATACTACGTGTTATATTCGTTACATGTTAACCCTTGTGTAGTAAACCGGGTGCCTGGGTATCCAGGTATCCATTTCTAAATTTCCTTTCACAATTTTTTATGTTTATCTAATCTGTCAGAATAGGGGTATTCCGATTGCTCAATAACCGTGACTATTTTGGTTGCCCACACAAAGGATTAATACAACGTGTATACTTTTGTAACTTGTATAACCTAAATAAATCAGATTTCCAGGTGGACGGGTACATAAACACGATTTTCACCAACTAAATACTGCACGATATAACAACGAACGTGGACAACGACTTCGTAACATCTTGCTGACTACATCCTCGAGTACTGAGATTCTGTAATATCGTATTTACCGATTTCTGCACCTTGGGCTCCGCGTCCTGATTTTTATTCGAAAATTGCTCGGCCATAGCCGAGACTTTATTGTACCCGAGCACATTACCCTCTTTGATCTTCTTGTCTATATTCTTCAGGGTACTGTCAATATCAGCGTACTTACTATCTGACTCCTTCTGATCCCGTCCCTTCTTCTCCATCTTGATTTGTCGAGCTAAAAACTGAATCAAGCATATACACATCTGAAAAAGCGTTGACTACCGACGATTGTTAATGTTTTATGTGCCAACCTGTTCTCGACTCCATTTTGGCACCCGTTCTAATTTGTCGTGTCGGGCTGAACGACCCATCTTACTCTCCTCAATTTTCTTTTCGATTTCCTTCACATTCCAGTCGGTCTTCTCAATTTTGCCTTTATTATAATATGGTATTATTAATGTGCAATGTGTACAAGATCATGATTTAATTGAATACGGTTGTAATCATTTTGGCAACTCTATAAATATTGATATCAATAAAATATAGTGAAGAATAATACCGTACATTTGAAAACAGTTAATATATTGTACCATGAGAAACCTTTTTCCAGTTATAGTTTTCAGATATTATATATTTTTTTACACTGGAAAGTTGACTGTAACATTGTGATTATTTGTTTCTTAAAAGGATTAATTAGGCGGAGTGAGGAGACAAGAGGCACTCTGGCATGGTAGTGACTGGCGTGAATAGGATAGCTTTTCAATAATCTTGAACCTAACACGAGATTTGATTGCGATTATATTCGCACACCTTTCTTGGAATGCAATACACCTTCAAAGAAATACATCAACACTTTCCTTACTGGAAGACTATTTAACGAGTTTTCTGTGGAGATATTTTAACAGCCCAAGACTTTGGAATGTTTTGATCCTAGAAGCAAATGAAAAGCATAGTGTAACGGATCGAACTTAGTAATATTATGTAATATTATGTTCCTACAAATTTTGATTTGATAGATATGGCATAAATTAAATATCGATTCAATAAACCAACAGTGTGTAAAACGTTAAGATTTAACAAGAACGATATAGAAAGAACATCTGCAGCATGGATCTATCAAATACAGACTCTCATTACACGTAGAAGGCGATGGAATTTCTTTTAGGATTACCTACAACTTTTCTTAGAAAAAAAATAGAAACATTGATCTTCACTTAAGGAACTGAGGGTACAGTCTTGAAGGATGTCTGGGGCATGTTTGAGAGATGTCCTGAAATTTATAAGCGATAAACAAAATTTTTTAATATTGCAGCGGTACGTTATCGATCGATATTAATTTTTATTAAAGTCAATATCTATGGAGAAGCGGTTACGAATTTAATCAGAAATAAATAATAATACAAACCAATGGCGCGTAGAAGATCCCTGGGTTTCTTCTCGGACGGTGTCGCTCCCTTTAATTTGTCTTCGATATTTTTTATTCGTCCCGAAAATTCTTCATCTATGCTATTTCTACGATGACCAGCATGTATCTTCGGTTCTCTGTCCTAAAAGAGATTCACGTAATGAAATAAAACTGGACGCACGATGCGAACAAGATGATGGACAACCACAACTTTGTCAAACTTGTAAAAAGAAGCAAAAATGCGGCACAATTTGCAATCGCAATACGTATACATTAGGAAACTAGGAATCTCATTAATACGCGTTTCTAGGAATAAAATATTAACATTTCACGTTTATTTTTGCCCTAATATGTAATGTTAGTGTGCCAGCTTGTAAAAAAATATATAAACGCAATCTCTTTACATCACAAGTATTGTCTTTTTGTCAAACTAGTTAGTAGCATTCTTTGGAGTCTTCAGTTTGCATATTAATAATATACAGGGTGTTTCAGCTAACTTGAACACCTCGAATAATGATTTAACGGTAGCCTTTATGAAAATTTTGAGGTGTGGAACTTAAATGTCATCAAGGGGCACGTCTTATAAGGTGCGTGCGTTGTTTGTGGGTGGAGGCATTTCAGAGATTTCCAGGTCACCTTGATTTTTTTAAACGGAATCCCCTATTTTTAGGTAGTATCACCCTCTACCCAGTTGTACCACCAGTTACATAACACCCTGTATATATGTATATATTACATATTGTATTAATATGTATATTACATGCATAAAATTCATGTAGTCTCTTATTCCTTCCATATTGTTAGAACAATATGTGAATACACTCGGTATTTAATTTGCAACGAAAATTATTCGAATGCATTATAATAAGATGAATTAGTATGTAAACGAACAATCCATGCTCGAGTCATTCACATAAAAAATTCCTTCAGTATTATAACAAAACACATTTGTCATTATATCACGGTCAATCTCGTTGGACCAGTAATAACAAACAACGATCGTTTAATTACACAAAAACTCGTTTAGTCAAAAGGAAAGAGAAAAAAAAAAAGAAAAACGAATTGGCACACTCCGAAATCATCGTTCAGTCTCCAGAGCTTACTGGGTATAAGATTTTCTGTTCAAGGTATTTCACTCGATCCTTGAAATCCGGTGCGGTCTGACGGTACAAGAATATCGAATAATCCTCGAACGGCTCGTCTTTCTCGCGTTTCGCGTTCGCCTGCAGCATCTGCATACTTTTGTAGAATTGCTGCGTCGCCATCTTTCGCAAATATTGCCGCCTTCGCATGCGTTCCACGCGATTCTTTTCGATATCGGCCAGTCTCTTCTGCCTTTCCTCCTTCGCGCGCGAAAAACCGTGCAAACACACACACATATCTTGACATTAATTTCATCCCCTCGAATACAATCGTTGCGTCTCTTCGTTCGACTTTCAAGACAAACGGTCTGAATGTCCTTAATCTGCACGATAACGCAGACATATATCTCGTGTTACGGTGCCATTTGGGTCATTTATCAAGTCTATACAATCACACACATGACAAAAAGGGGTAAAATAGACGATCGAGGTTTCTCTATCTCGAGTCTGGCTACGCTACAATCTCGTTACTTTCTGCGGATTCTAATCTACTTGTTCCAACCACCAAGGGAAAAAGTCTACCGTGAATCTATATATGGTATTGATGCGTTCTGTTTTTGTTTAGTAAATGGGGACAAATACAAAAGCTTGCGTCGCAAGTATAGTACAACAAAAACATATGTATATGTATATATATATATATAGAGAGAGAAGGAAGTATAGAAAAAGTTTACAACATAACCGATACGTATTCGTAACGTTCCCACTGATACTTTCGTCGACTATGCGAAGCGATTAGAATGCAATGACTTCCTTCAGCGCCATGGTAATGGTCACTCCAATTATTATGATTAACGTTACGATTATCCCAGAATACATAACTGGTTTAATCTTCTGCCAGCGTGACTATATAGGATATAAGCATTGTAAGTTTCGTGTAAATGTATGTACGAGAGACGTTAGTGGTCGGTTCTTCAACCCCTTATGGAAAATATTCTTGTGCACGCAAAATATGTAGGTACTTGTCACTTTGGAAATTCAATATAATCGAAATAAACAGGAAAAAAAAAAGAATAATTCGTTTTCGTTTAATAGTCAGCTCCAACGTTATACTGTTTTAAAAATATTTTCTTATTCGTAAACAAAAGGTAATGGAAATTAATTCATTAAAATAAATTTAGTTGTCAAATAATAGTTGCGCAAGAATTTCTCGATTTCTGTCAATTGACACTCCACGAGCAACGAATGTGCATAAAGGGTTGAATGTACGAGTCAACCGTTTGCATTGGACTTTAATCGTTTCTATCGACAAAGGTTCGAACAAAATCTCGAGTTAAGATGCGCAAAGGGTTGATCTCAAATATATAAATAGAGAAAGAAAAATTAGACTTTAACCTCGGACGGTCTGCTAACTAAAAGCTTTCGAAGAAACGTACGATTAAAAAATTGATCGATAAAAGACGATCGATAGAGATCGTTGTTACAATAGTCGGACACGTTGAATGGTTTTCTTGGATCGCAGAGAGAAACAAAGATTGGAACTTACGACTGTCGCGCCCATTTTCTCCGTGCTGCGTCTCTTTCGAGAACGTCGACTGATGGTATCCCCTTTTTTATCAGCGGGATTCAAATTCTCGTTATGCCTCGATCGCGAGTGTCTCGTTCTCGTCGCGCTCTCCTGCCGACTCACGATTCGGTCGAGTAAATGAACTTTTTGGTCGACCGTCAGCTGGCTCAATTGTTTGCTGTGCGACGGCCTCTCTTCGTTTTCCGGCTCCTTCATGAAACACGATCAGTATCACGTTAGTATAGTAATTAGACCTGTGACTTCATAAACAGATTTTATTTACGAAAGTTGCACGGTAGCAAGGGGGTCATGTATTCCAGGTGATCAAAGTTGCACCACTCTATATAATCGTGTGTGATATAGAAGAAAAACATTTCGTATAAACTACAGAAAGAACCCGCTGCCCCATTTTGGATTTAATTAATAGAGATTCGGTTAATTCACTTTACTATTTTCCATACGAAAGCATTCGTGGCATTCTACATCGGTACGATTAGTGGATTCAAACATTTCCCTCAATGATCCAAATCTATTTCGTGTCCAGCCTTTCGTGGACCTTTCATCCTCTGCAGTAATGTTATTTGATGATATCCTATTGTTATTACAATCGAGTGAACTGTTGGCTTCTTGGTGGAACGGTCGAGGAATTGAATTAATGGATATTTTTGATCGTCGATTGTGAACGTTGTATGATGGAGTACGATTGTTCATGCAGGATGAAGGGTCAGGCATTCTTGGACGAGGATTGCTGAGTGATCGGCGGTCTGGCGGCGGAAAATGGTGCTCGGTCCGTGATTTTTGACGCGATGATAAATACTATAAAATAGGAAGTTTGTGTTAAAAATCTTTGGATCGCCTTTTTCATTGGATCTACCAATAAGTCATTTTTTTTTTGTTAAATAAACTATGGTTATCTGGGAATTTGCCACTAGAGAATTGCTAGATAAATCCTAACTTTTGGATAACAGTTTAGTTTAAATTATAAACATCTTCCCGCCCTTTTCATTTTTTAGAGTGATGGATGACATTACTGAATGAGGACGAACATTAATCCTAAAAAGTAAAAGTGAACACTTAATAAAAAATAGTGTATTTATTATTAGTGCACCTAATATTAAGGTACCAATCTACTTACGAATTTTGGATGTTTAACGTAAGGAATTTCGCCGCGGAAGACCTCGTATATCTGCGTCAAATAGGAAAACATCGCGAGCTTGTCAGGAACGTCACATCGAGCCATTTCTTCTCCGGTCATTATCTGAAAAATTTCGAATGTACATTACAATATTTTATTGTTCAAAATAGAATTTATATTATGCTTTTCGAAACAATTCTTCCGACTCTGTTATTCCATTTATATTTCCTTTTTCTATTTTTCGAATCTAGAAATCCAGGATAAAGCCTGGACAATAATCGTGTAGAGAAAGCCAGACAATAATCGAGAGGAGTCTGTAACTTTTACTTGAATAGTCGATCGACTCACCGGCGGTATACCCAGTTCTTTCTCCAACACGTCGAAGGCCAGTTGATTGTTCTTTTCCACGTCGTTCGCTTCCAAGCTGTGGAAGTCTATCAGATCTGGACGGTATCTGTGAATGATCGCACAAATAGCCAGACCGCTTTTGAACGAGGCGCCCATGTCTTCGATCTGGACGGTGTCGTACAGGGCGACCTGCTTTTGCAGCCAGCGAAGCAACATGTCTGGATGGATCTGTGAATCTCCATGGAGATCTGTACAATACACTCGAAATTAATTTAAATAAATCAAATTGACAGTTAATTTGCTATATCGAGCGAACACTTTTTTTTTGGTCTCTTTCTTTAATTCAATAAGTACTTTAAAACGCTGAATTCTTCGACGTTTTCTTTTTTAAATTATACGGGTATAGCGACATAAGAGAACAGTGCAGTGCAGACACGATGATCGATTTGATTGCTTTAAATACAATACAATATTTGGACCAAGTTAAATATCATTTCGAAACCGTAGAACTGCGTTTATAGATACTTCATTACACGGTACATGAATTATTTTCGTGCAAGGCAAACAGGAGCATTTGAATGGCGTCCGAAAGGGACATTTCCGCAGAGCTGACATAATTATACATTGTCCAGAGTACCAAATAGAATAAAGAGATGAAAAGAACGACAATGAAGTAAATGTAGAAAGCATAACATAGTAAGAAATATATATAGGCGAACAAATGAATGGTAATATGGACTCTAACTATATTGCCACTAAACATATTGCCACCTGAGGCACTTTCCTTTCACACGTACTTAGCATGGAGGGGGCTCTTAACTCATTGCCATTTTACTCCCCTACAGCGAACCATGGCAATATAGTTAGAGTCCACTGTACTTGCAATTTTTTCAATACTATCGCTATTATAACAAAAGCCGCTGACCCACAGTAAGATGAATGCACAAACAATAATTAGACTACGGATATTCATGCAAATTGCCATTTTCTCCGGATAGTTCGGGAAACGCAGAATCACTAAAAAAAATATGTTTCTTCGATCAATGAGTTTAGTGAGTTAAAAATCAAATAGAAATAGAATTGTATGATTTTCATTAAAGTTTTGTAAATATAAGCATCCGCAGTCTACTTCACATAGTGTTTTACTCTTACATGAAATTGCTGCATAAATTCTGTATTTTAGTTTTACATCAAATATAACGATAGTGTTTCATTCATCTTAACGAACCGTCCTCATCAAACCTACTCAGACAATATAAAAGTAATCTGTTAAATATATCAACGAATTCACAGCATATTTTTAAAAATTGAATTTCTGATCAACGCGTTGATTGCCATTTCGGTGACATTAAACTGTTCGGAAAAAGCAACGAATTTTTAACAGTACCATTTACAATCTTGCAAATATAACTGTACAAGTCGACGTATAAATATTTATTTCGTAAAAGAGCAAGAACGTACACAGATCTATTTTATTACGATACTGTTCTGACTAAAAATTTTTAGCAGTCAACATGTTAATGTATGTTCACTAAGGGTCAAAATTTTCGCAGCGAAACAATGCATTTTACGTAGAAGAGAGGTCATTCTGGCGCGCAGTGGGTAAAATTTAAAGGCTCATCCGCCAGTGAATGTGTTATCGTTAGATTGTTGCATTATTAATGTCATTTTTCAACGTGATTCATTTCCCTCGCTCGAGAATCGTTAAATATGGGACCAAGAAACTTTGTGACTCGTTGGTAAGAATTTATCGGCTCGAATGGATTTTTCCTGGATGAAAAATATTTCCGTTCGTGACAAGTTATATAAATTATGACTCATAATCGTTCAAGCTATTATAGTTTAAAATCGACATTTATTATGCAACAATGTAACACATAAGTCTCGATAAAATTAAACGCTTTGCGCCTGGTAGCGGTACTCCCCAAGCGTTGAAATCACCGAAGCTTCGCGGACGCTCACGCGATACTCGTGATGTTATTAAAACGGGTCACATTATCGGTTTGAATTTATTCTTTATACAATTGCACGTTCAACAACGTGTTACAAAATTAACATTTAGGCAATTAATGGCCGTGGTGTTACCTTCCTTTTTCTCTCGTGGGATGCACAACTGTATAATCGATACAGGAGGATATACAATTCACATCACGTTTTGGTTTTCATTTTGCTTTTGTAATTTTCCTTTTATTGGGCGAAATATTATTGGATTTACAAGAGTGCAAGTCGAATACACAATTTCAGGGGGGGGTTACGAAAATGCTGTCGAAAGCGTCTTCACTGATAAACGGCGTAAATTCAGCGTAAATAAAACTAACAAACAGCAGAAGCGACACATGTCGTGGGTATACGTTATCCGGTGCATATATGATATTTGTAACTGAATAAATGATATAGATGGAAAACAATGATGAATTAAGATTAATAAAGCCTTTTATTAGATAATTATATATTTAACTTAACAAATTGTGAGACAGTCTATTTTTTTTACGAGACGATCTATAAAATTAGAAATTGGCACAAACATCTGCAGTCTAGTTAATCGTTTGTTTATCACAAGATTGCGGATATTATTATATATGAAAACTGTACTAAAATTCAATACAGCTTCACTTCAGTTCGAATTTGATAAAATCCTTAATGAAACGAATAACTTCTCGTTTTATTCCTTTTTTTGTGAAACTTGCCCAGAAGAATTTGATTTTACATAATGATCCGCAGTCTTTTCGTAACAGAAGATCGAAGGTGTTTCGTGTGAATGTGTTCTAGATACTACAAATATTTATTTCTACAGAACTAGCTACGATCTGGATGAAACTCGCTGTAAAATGTAGTAAACAACAGGCATAAATATGACAGTATTGGGTTGCTGCGTATGAAACTGCAACTTTATTGGCAGGGATATTTATGAAGAATTATCGAAACTTGTACTGAAAGGTGACACGAGGCGATTCGTTTCAGTAGACTTCAGTCCAGAAATGAAAAATGTATTGAAAACGAAGAAACCAACGATAATGAAGCGTGTGATTCTTTCGCGAAAACGATGCAAATATCACGATTCTATCTTCTTTAATCTGGAATTCAATTCAATTTCTAAAAGGAGTAACTCACTTTCCTAAAAATCAGTGCTTCAGAAATAATGCAGCAATAAAAAGCACGTTACGGGAATGTATTTAATATAATAGGAAAAGAAACAAGAAAAAAAACAGTCTTTAATAACTAAACTAATCTAAATATGACGAAAACTACAACCCAGGCTCAATTAAATCGATTTTCAAAATTGGGCCTATATACCTATGTAAATGTGTGAACCGTTGGTATGCATCAAGTCAACAAAATATCAATGGTTTGTTTGTCAAAAATCAGACATGTTAAAAATTAGTGAACTAGCCCGAGTCTTCCCTACAGAAGTTCAGTAGTTAATCGTGCCGATGAAAACTGATAAGAAAAGAATGGTGAACATTCCTTTCGTTCGCAACTATCTCGATTAAAACGACACTTTCATGTGCACCAGCCCAATACGCACGAAACATTAATGGCTAACTGTCGGATTATTTCTACGAAATAATATTGTCTAAACGCTAAAACTCAACAAAAAAAAAAAATTCGACGAACAAATATATCATGCTCTGTATGTATATTAAATTTTCGAAGATGCATCGTCGGAAAGTGATCGGCGCCCTCTGAGCGGCGCCAAGCTTTTTGGGTTTAGCAAGGACACGTATATTAATCGTTGAATAAAAAGTGATTCGCCAAACTTACCGCGACGACGCCGTTTCTTAGGGATATCAACGTCGGATATCACAGGGGGCTGCTTGATGCTGTCGGGATCATCTGTATCGAGGAGACTTCGCACTTGCATTGGAGTTACAGAGGATACATTCAGATTTGGGTATCTTAAAGAGAATTGAGTTACTGTAGACGGCGAGAGTAGAAAATTGTCCTGAGCTAATGAGAAACGTGCAATCACTGGATCGGTGCATAAAGTATATCAGTTTTAGTGGGCTCTAATAAAAATGTTACCAACGTAATTATATTTGGTAATCTTCCTTCAATTAATGAAATGTATTTTAAGTTCAGTGGAATGTCAAGTGTCATTAAAAAATCCAACATATGATATGCACCGAGGTGATACGTTGAAATTTAACCCTATAACGACATAGTGCTATCCTTATGGAATACTGTATACAGAATGTACAATATTTTTGAGGTATACAAAGAGAACAGTGAAATGTTTTCAGGGGCGTCGACGACCCCAAAATGTCGTTCTAGTGTTAACATGGAATAAAAATGAAGCACTGTTTTAGAAACCAACGGAGCGTCTTATTACTCACTGGTTTCATAAAAAAAAAAAGATTATTAGGAAGATAAACTGAAGAAAAAGAAGGTATAAAAAATAAATGGTCAATACGACAGACACCATGAAAGATTGGTAATATTCACGCTACAAAGCTATAGATGTTAGTAATTCCATTCTAATACATATTTCTATTTAAATAACATATCAGTTTAGCAATCAGAATCTGTCATTCATTTACAAAATATTAAACTAGAAAATGAAACAGTGAGACTCTGTTCAAGAATTTTCAGGTGCTAAATTGAATACTTTCTGTCGTTTGTAGTATTTGTTTTTCACACTGTGTTTGTGGGACTGTTTTGTCTCCTCAAGGTACCAGTGAATATCAGGACACTCTGTCTACGAATTACGAATCTAGACTGTAATTCAGAAAAAAAAGTGACCACATATTTGTAATTTCATATCAACGTATAATTCTAATTGTTATCTGAACAAGTGACGCTACTGGTGTACTTCCTTTTTACTTTTGTGGAAACGTGTAAACTGTGCTGCTATTAAATTCACATGCATCGAGTTTAGTTGTATAAATAATACACACAGGTATCGTGATTAAAAGTAGACACAGTAATTAAGCCGACCGTTGTATCATTTTTAGGAACTACATTGTACCTGGTGTGAGGGTCCAGAGTGTACGCCGCGTAATCTCTGTTCAAATTCTCCGGCGTAGTCTGCCCGAGTAGTCTGTAGATCGATTCTCTCTCCGCGATCATCTCCAACGGCGACACCGAGGCGCCCCATTGCTTGATTGCCCAGCAGGCGTCTAATGAACTCAAAAACCCCCTCGCGCAGCCAGAGCCCGTCGGCCAAAACGGCTGCAATAGGTTTTCATCTCATTATCTGATGCTTTCCAGAACTTAAATAATATTGTGTCCCTAATTCAGGGAGATGCGCAATCTATACTTCAATGTCTATGGTTATAACTAGACTGCGGATTTTATGCATTTATAGTTTACAGAGGTCTCTAGAATACAGTAAACAAACAAAACTTTCATTAGAACCAATCAGTTTTCTAGTTTAATCCGAACTTAATATGATACTTAAGAAAAGAAACATTTGCTTTTCACTGTATCAATTACTTTAGAAAATACCATTTTGCATAGAAATCCGCAATCTAGTTATAACGATATCTTGCAGAAAACAACTTTCCGTTCAACCCAATAATATTACAAAAATAAAACATGTGCACGACAACGAGGAAGCAACTGAATGTACCTCGAGTAGGCTGTCGCCGACAAGGATCATGAGCAGTCTATGACCGCGACGCTCCAGAACCCGACTGGCATTCTCCGCCGCATACATTGATGTGAAATCGAACATGGCCACGTCTGGTTGCCCGTAATGATTCACTGCGAATTCCATGTCCATCATTTGGTATTCCGTGGAGAATTCAGCCGCCTCGCGAGCGTAAAGCATCAGTGCCTCGCGATCCACATTCTCTTTGGCGAGTAATTTGGCAGTGTCTGCGTGATCCTGACGAACAGATAAAAAAAAACATTATCACCATTTAAATACCGTCAAAACTTGTTTCACAATAGGGGAAGTCGAGTTGGATCATGAGGATACATAAGTATTAAGGCATAGTAGGTCTAACGTTGGTATTCACTGAGATATTTACAATGAAAGTTTCATTTTAAAAGGTGTTAGAAGTCGGTGTTAGATTGACAAACGACACATACACAGTTTCTAGTGCACTTTCGGAGATTTTTGTACGCGTTCTCGAGTCGTAGACAGTATAGAATTTTCATTGTAAATATCTTAGTAAATGCCCACTTTATACCTATCATACTTTAATAGTTATTTACTCAGTTTTGAATGCTTATTTAATTTCCGTAAAGAAATACAGGTTGTTTCTATTTAAAAAAAAAATCAAGGTGACCTTGAAACTTTATGTGCAAACGATGTAGAAAAAAATTATTATTTTAACATATGTCCTTCTTGAAATCATGCAACTTTCGTTCGAAATACTTTCTCGTACAAATAATTTACGAGTACTTAATTTGAAATTGTCGAGTTAGATGTAGCTAGTAAGTAATTTGTTAGACGAAAAGCCCATCGTAAGAGTGTTATTACCTGCAGAATGACACCCTTGTCGATCAAACTGTGCTTCTTGGCAGTCATCACAAAATAATGGGTATCGTCTTTGTAATAAACGATATTCTCCAGATCGATACCAGTTTCTTGGTACAATTCTTTAAAGAACTTCTGGTTGAAGATAAAAGCCACACCACTGATTTCTTCGACCCGAGCCTCCGCCTCAGTCCGTTTGTTTATGAAATTCGCTGTAATTGCGATCGCCAATTTTCCCCGAAACTCTTTGCGCTTGAAGCCCTCTAGCGTGTTCCTCTTCCCGTCCGCGCCGATCAAAACATCGAACTCGTACTGAGAGACCGGATGATCGGCCGGAGTTGTTTTCGTCCTCCATCCGATTTCTGGAAAACAATAGCATGTTCATCGTGGAAATATTCGGTTAATTCGGTCCTCTCATATTTTGGAACCAACAAATGAACGAATTTTTTATTATTCATTAATTTTCTCTGATTCTTCTAGAAAAAGTGTGTGAATAATTTTCGGGATATCTTTAAAAATATGAGAGTCACAAAGTTTAAACTTCACCTGGCGTCTTTAAATGGCTTTTCTTACGTTTATTGTTTCATTACCGAACACACTTTTTTCCTGTGTGTATTTCGTTCTAATAAACAATCTGTATGAATTTTCTTTAATTATCTAGTCTTTCAAATTTGGCACGAGCCACCTTAATTGCACGTTAGAGAATTGATTTAGCGGATTACTCACTGTCTTCTTCTTGGTTCTCTGGCGGCGGTACCAAAGAGTCGAAGCTCACACTCTCGTGGAACTCAACGCCCAGGATCAGAGCGACTTTGAGCAAGATACACTGAAGCTGCCGGATGCTGATGTGATCGATCGACCCCGCGCAGAATTTCCCGAAGAATTTCTTCGCCCCGAGACCACGCAGATCTTGTATAACGAACGGCCATAGGTGAAGAACATTGTTCCTTGACATACGATCCCTCTTTTCGACCACGACGACCTTCGCTCCTAACAGCTGCGCCTCTATGGCTGAACGAAGCCCGCAGGGACCACCCCCTATGATCAACACCTGAAACAATGAGTTCCATTTGAGACTTTATTTTTATTCGTTTGCAATTCACATCTGTGAATTCTAACCCTCTGTAATCCCCTGAGTCTTACTTAAATCTCTCCACAACGAAGGGATTGTTATTAAACAAAATTTTTTAACATTCAGCTTTAACATTAGGGATAAGAAACAGAAAAGTATTCACCCTTGTGTTAGGGCATGCTTTGCCGCGATTGTAACACTTGTGGTTCGCCCTCTGATCGAACTTCTTCCAAAGCGCCTGTGCCTTCCACGATCGCAGTTTCCCCTTCAATTTCGGATAGAACTGAGTGACCGTGTTTGGCCTGATCTTCAGCAGCTCGCAGAGATGCCTGAAGTGGCCGAGAATGGTCTTGAGTGTGGTCGCATTGCAGAACTGATCAAACACCTCGTTCGCTATCGCCAGTTCCGGCGAGTTCACAGCCTGCTTCCGACTGTTTTGCTGATGATCCATCTTTCTGATCCTGGAAAATGTATAAAGGTATCTTTTCAAAAAGAGAAAAATAATATGAAATTAAGTGGATGTTGGAGTCGAAGGAATAGATTTGCTGAAAGAAACAGCGCATGTTTTACAAAATAAATATAACTTCGAGGGGTGGTTTCATCCCTTAAAGTCGCATCTCAGCCGATAAAAAAAAATACGTATCCCTTATTTTTGACTGCTTAACAGATCCGCGGAGTAGAAGTGGAATCGACGTCAGGACGGATCGGTCGTGGCCCGTAGCATCCTTTAAGCCGCTCGAAATGTCACGAGGTGCTGCCCGAGAATGCCTGCTTGCGTGCCTTTCGCGGCTCGACTCGGGCCGCATAGATCATGCGCCGGTTGTCTTCCAATAAGTGTGAGCCAAATGTAGCGGAAGCGAATCGAGAGTCGCGACGATAAACACGGAGCCGTTCGTATCATCCAGAAGGATAATACAGTCGCGAAAATAAGAGAGTAAAGGGGGGAGAAAGAAGAGAGAGATAGGAATTGATTCGGTCACGTTTTGCTATTGATTTACGAATCAATTTAGAGACAACTTCCGTGATACCTAGAGCCATAATTCAGGTGGACTAGTCGACTGTGCCCTGCGGTTTTAAACGCGCTACCGAGGCTGAGGAAGATAGTCTGACGATTGTTCGGAAGGTTGTGCGGTAAACGAACGACACGTTTTCTGTTCGGACCGGTTATAGAGCAGAGAACAGAATTTAATTAGAATTTTGAAAAAAGAATGTTCTTTGGGAATTTTTTTCTCAAAAACTACAAGACCTTTTTGAAAAAATGTGTTTGTGTTTCAAAGATTGCAGTGTCTAGATTATATGGTAATTTTTTTATTTAAAAATATTTATTAGTAAATAAATGGTGAACGATCTCCCGGATGTCTCTTCACAAAAAGTGGTCTACCGTGACCACTATAACTTCGAGCCATTTATCTTTCTCCTTTGGCATTTTTTCATAAATGCATTAATAACGGAGTTATGAACCGAAACAATTGCGTTTTTTTACTCACTAGTATGTGTTCTCTTCTGTCGCGGGTTCTTTGAACTTACGACCTGATAACTCCGCGCGCACGTCTCATCCTCCTCCTGCGGATGCTTTCATCGCGGAACCCCCCCTCCGACGTGGGATGCTGCCAGGAAAACGGAAGCAACGAGGGAACTTTCTCCGATAGACGTCCTTCGGAGATCAAAGGCGGGTCCGCTGGTAAAGCACGCGCCCGTGACCACCGAGACCTTTGTAGGCCGCATATACCGCTTTGATTCTTCTTTTTTTTTTTTTTTTCATCCGACTAGCCGATGAAAATAGGAGTTGCTATTATCAGGCACGCTTGGTTTCGTTTTAATTTTGCTTCCCTTCCCCGACGGGATGACATAATCGGCGAGCAGGGTGAATAAACCAGCGTCGCGGTGCAACGGAGTTACGGCGAGATGAGGAGCGTTTCTGTTTTAATTGGATTTCGCTCGATTGAATTAGGTTAACGTGGCATTTTTCGCGGTTGCATAAGCGATCGTGGAATTATTGCTGGGGGAGATAATGTGGTATACGGACTGGTGAAAGCGTTCGTGAATAATCGAGTGTGTTACTGGTGAGAATCAGTGGGAATATACACTGACGACAGTAAGTATTAAGGTAGACTGCGAATTTTTTATGGAAAATAGAATTTCATGAAGTAGTTTATAAAGATAAGGACAATGGTAGGGATTTCTTTTTTTTTTAAGTATCTTATCTGGGTAAGAATGAAATGGAAAACTCGTTGCATCTGACGAAAGCTTTGTCGTCTAGTGGATTTGACAGAGCTCTAGAGACTATAGGGTGAAAGACCCAATTACTGACACTTTAAGAAATGACTCGAAAGCTATTACTGGCACCCGTTAAACGTGTTCGATCGAATTACTGATATCCCAATTACTACCACCTCACCAAATATTGTCACCTGCAGGCCGTATTGGTGACATTGATCATATGATAATAGATTCTTTATTATAATTTCCTGTTATTCCTAAAAAAAATCGATAAACTTTGAAAAGGCTAGATTGAGTCTAACAATTCATACAGCTTTGTGAAAGGCAGTTGTAGTCCCATGCATATTCAGGTACGATTGTTTATCTTATCCGACGATGAGAACAGTTATTATTATCATCAATTTATTTTCTTCTCAATTCCGCTGTCGGATATGTTATAATCAGTAAATAAGGTTAATAAACTCGTATCGTCGAACTAGTTTACGTGAAATATAATTCCGAGCCATATTAACAAGAAGTAATATCCTGAATTAGATTATTTTCGATTAATTCAGGTTAACGCAGTGTTTCGAAGACGATTAAAATATTAGAATCCTTGTATTTAATTACGCAGGTATGTTACCACTTGTGGCTATGTTTTGCAACAAAATCATAATTGAGGTATGTGGGTCGGCCAAGCAACGCGGAACGCGTTAATAGGACGGTGCATTACACGCATGTGCAAATTTGGTCAAGTATAATAAACGCACAGCGTTAATTCGCAGAACGCGTAATTGTGGAAAATTCATTCGAATTTCCTAATTTATTTGTGGTCTGTTGTGCTCCACTATGACAACGGGTTGAACCTTTCCATTAGGTCATTAAGTAATGCAATGGCAATTAATATGGAGATATCTTGCCCATTAGCTCATATTTTCTTTACAACGTTGTGTTTCAGTAAATGATCTATGTCGCATAGGAAATGAGGCCATCTGTGTGATCATACACGCGTGTAAACTTAGAATCCGAACTGGTCCAGTGGTTTCGGGAGTCGCATTCTTCGGCTGATTCTTCAACTTAACGTGCTTTTAACTCAGTGACCACTATATGGTTCAGGATAATATTAGCATACAATTTTCAGTTGTTGGAAATTCATAAGTTATACAAATAACAGTCGAAGTTTGAAACCTTCGCAATTATTACCGTACTCGTCATCTTCGTCAAAACAATGGAACAGCTCCAGTGCCTTTCGAGCGGCAGTGTAAGTACATAGCAACCGTAAAAATATTAATGTGGGCATGAATGGAGGCAGGACTTAATCTCCTTAAATTGCATTTAACACGACGATCTCGATTACTGAAACTCCGAGGCCCGATGTCGAATCGAGACACAGGGTTTCACGCCGGCAGCGTAGGAATAGTTTCTCCTTGTCCGTCCACGATCAGCTGTTCCGGCCATTACAGCAAATTGTCGGGGCAAACGAGCGTCATCCGACGTCCACGTTATACCTACGCGAATACTTCACGCCTCTCGTACCATTGTTCCCTCGAGAGACTCTTAGACCTTTGGCGGTAAGACGAAACGTGATGTCTTTAACGAGACTGGGCAGTCAGATTTAGTAAAAAATGTAATTTTTTTTTGGAAATTAATTACAGGAAAAATTAATATAAATTATGACTAGTACGTTTGGGTAACGTTTATTAATGTTCTAAACTGTAAACAACATTTTTCTTTACATATACCATTTTTTCCCCTAATTGAAGCCGAGTTTGCTCGTGGGTGTACCTACACCACTTTTGATTACGGTATTGATAAAAACAACGTGACAGAAATATTGGTAAGGTTGCGTCTAGGTCAGAGATGGGCAAACTCATTATCTAGGTAAACAATTTCGAATAACGAATAAAAGATAAAAAAGTATTTCGTCATTTTTAACTGTTTAAACGTGTAAATTTCAATTTTTATAATAAAATAATACTTCTTTATGAATGAATCGACATTTTTCGAACAATTATTTAATCTCATTAACTGTTTAAAGCTCAGAACGACACCGTTAGATACTGCTGCTTTTAACTGTGTATTATTCGAATAAAATGCTGCCCAGCTCTGGTTTAGGTGGAATAATCCGCAGTGTTCCCGTCGCGAAACTCGCATGCCAACGAGACAACCTGCCTATCCACGGGTCATTCTGAGAGGCCTATCGAAAAGCGGTGTACAGGAAAATTTACCGTAAGGTTTGTGCCACCTGCGACGCTTGATCGGGCAAGTGACCCGAATGTTAAAACGTTTTCTACGTGGTTGAAGAACGAGCGCAACTGGGCAAGCGGTTCACTGGGTTATCTATTAGAAGTCTCGGGACACTGTTGAGCAACGGACCACGCCGCTGTAGCAAGGTGTCGGTGATACGTTTTGGAAGAACTTGGAACGAAGCCACTATCATTCGCCGCCCCCCGTACCCTTGTGTCACGACAGACGTCGTTGAAACGATAATCTGTCCTCGTTTCGAATGGAAAAATTCGAGAAACAAAAAAAAAAAGAAATAGTGCTTACAAAGTACGGTATGCATTGTAATATTAGGACCAATCTTGCACGAGTGACCTGATATTATTTAGTAAAATTTAACAAGTTACAAGCTAAAAGTTACCAGTAGTTATTAATAAATAGACTGCGGATTTTATGCATTTATAACTCATAGAGCTCTGTTAAATAGAATAAAAAACCAAACAGCTGAAAAAGTCAGCTGATTGTCCGTTGAATAGAATTTTTTTATTGTATTAAATTACCAATGAGGTTCCTTTCCTCGCGTGTCGTCCTTTCCATGAAACACAAAATGAACACGACACGAACGATGCTGCGGAATCGCAAATTCACTGCCTATGATTCGTGACCTGCTACGTACGTCTGTATTGTTCAATTGAATGTTTCACGTTCTGTATATTTAGGAGTACACAGTCCGCTCAAAGGATTCTGGGTCAGAGAAAAATCGTGTAACAGTCAGCAGAGAGAGAAAGAGAAGACTGGCTGAAAATGGTTATTGATTATTATGCGTCGTTTCTGAGGCTGCGTGTACATTTTATATTGATCTTCTATTTTTTTTTTAATAAAGAATACCTTGTAAAATGTATAATACTTACATTGAGCGTAATATATTTTTTGTACAACTTTATTCCCATCGTAAAGCTGAGTCTACACTATACAGCACAACAATGTTATATAACAAATTGTTATATAATTTAACTACACAACATGTTTTTATAATTTGTTACAAGACTATACCTTCTGGACAAGTTTGTAACAAATTTGTATAATATTTCCTATGATATTATTACTAATGGCTTCACATTTGATGGGTAACATATAACTCGTTATATAACATGAAAAATGTTACGTAACATGGTGTTATGTAACATTTTTCTTTCTGTTTTTCTAACAAGTTTTATAACTTTGCTATACAACGTGTTATGCTATTTAGTGTAGACGCAGCTTTACATACATTGAATGAAACGTTCAACAAAGATCAAACTTCTAAATAATCCGAATCACATCGAAGTGGCTATGTATACAATTTTCCGCGCCATGATCCATTTTGTTCGGTAATGTGCACCGAGGTTCCCGACCTGTTCGCCATTTTTACGCCACCGGTGGCACAAAGCGCGACTTTCAACCGTGTCTCGATTCAAAAGGCGACAAAGACACGCCTCAATGGCTTTCCCTCACCTTTTTCTTTGCTCGTTCCGACGAGCGACTCGAGGTCTCGTCCCGTTTCTCGATTGATTTCGCTCGCTCGAGGTAAAAAAAAGTTCATTAATGTCCGACAAATTCTGGCGGAGGCGCGTACTTTATGAAAGAAGGTCAAGCGACATATCGCAGCGGCTGAAAGTGGCCATCGATTCGAAAGGGGTTTCGCGGGAATATTCGGTGACAGAGTAAATCTTCAAGGAACCCGAGCGTTAAAGGGGGAATCACATATAGAACACTGAAAACAAGCTAACTTTTGTGAGTATATTACAAAAAAAACTATTAACCTAACCCAGGCCTATTTTTGTTCCATAGATCGATAGAGTACCAAATTCTGAGTAAAAATGTGTTGACCTTGATACATTCTGAACCTAATAGTTAACGAGATATTTACAAATTAATTTTTAATACGTACTTACTATCTGGAAGTTATAGGTGCTCGAACTGATGCTCCTCCACTTCAATACAGCGATTCCAATACAGTAATTATTTTGTAAATATCTCAAAAATAGGTCATTCCGTTAAAAAAAATCAAGGTGACCTTGAAATCTCTGAAATGCCTCCACCCACAAAAAAAGCACGTACCTTTAAGTCATTATTCGATCCATTAGTTTATGAAATATCTATGTACTGTACAGTGCCGAGGAGTCTTCGATCACTCAAGGAGGATTTACTGTAGTAGCCACCAACGGCGGGTCGGGGCCGGAAAAATTAGATTCGCGACGGTTTCGTTGAAATTCTTCCGCGGAAGTATGCCGTCCCATTTCGCTGAATCGATTCTTTTTTTCGCGAATCGCTGCCTGAAAACGTCTCATTCGTTGTATTTATAGACGCCTCTGCCCTCGCTTCTGATCACTTATGTATAAAGGCCGCCGTTACTTTGTTCCACGCGAAACTGGTATTCCACCAATGATATCCGCTCGTTCCCTGTACGAGATACCCGAAGATAAAGCCGTGGCGAACGAGGAAAGTAGCCAGGAATCGAGCGTTTCTTTCGCGACACACGCGGAACCGGGACAAAGAGGCTTCTGACGTGCCTTTTCCCTTTAGGATGTAAAAAAAAGTTGTTTCTCCTCTATATTCAATACTATTAATGACTCGCGTTTAGCCCGGTATTTCCTGATGGTACTTTATGGTACCACTAATACAGTGTGTTCTACGAATCACGTGCGATTTAAATTATTTGAAGTATTCGAGTACTTCGTACTATTAGAGTTCTTCGAAGAAATTATTCGTATTCGAAATTTTTCGAATACATAGTTCGAATATCCGAATACTTAGAATCCTACTGAGAATCTTATTAAGAGATGATAAAATGATATCTAGTTGACAGATACAGAGTAACGATTAGCAGTAGCTATTTCCAACGAAAGTCAGAACTTCCGACAGCAACCGAATATGCATTTTCAGGACTATAAACATTCAAAATGCAATAAACCAAAAACCAATTTTTCGTACCCTTCTAAAGAGAGTGGTGCTCCTTCAACAAGTTACTGATTACAAAAAAAAGAGGGATGAATAGCCATTCTAGTCGATGGAGAACAACAAACACAGTGCGCGAGTGGCCACAAAAGAGAAGGTGAGTGTTCCTCTATAAATACGATGGTCGAGGTGGGCGAGGGAGAGATGCGATCTCGTGGAACTAGAACGACCAAACTGACGAGCAATTTTACAGGAACCTGTGGGCGTCGATGAAGAAGCTGCCGATGTCACGGCACACGTAGGTACATACAGGGTGTAAAAAAATTAATGGTGATGGATTTAGGGAGTTGAATCTACGCCCCTAAAAAAAAAAAAAAAAAAAAAATAATAAAACAATACGCAAAATTGTTTCTAACATGTGAATAACGCCGTTGCTCGTGTCGCATTCATCGAGGAATCACTGTACTGTATATCGAGGAGCCCGATAGACGTGCAGCAGACGAGCATCGCAGGTTGCGGACCTCTCGGCGATTATTGCCAGCCGTGGGCAACGACACTTGCAAGGAGCGTTCACCATGTGCACAATATTATGCACATCGTCGGCGAAGCACGTGGGCCTCGAGTATATCGTTCGACGAACGGACAGACGACTATTTTCGTTCGCATCGATTTTATTGGACGAACGTGTGTCGTCTTTCAGACTGTCGCACCACACGTTTCTCGATCGTCTATTATTGTCGCTTCCGACAATGAACGTGTTTCGATCGGATTGAAAGACGGAATTAATTAGAGGATTTGCGGATGATTCAGAGAATATTGATAAGGGAATGGCTTGTATACAGGGTGAGTCATTTAACTTGCTGACTGCGTTTGTCCAATACAGTAAAAGTTTAATTTATCACTTTAGAACTCTGTCGCTATTAATTAGTTTAGATTAAAAAAATTACTGAACAATCTTCAAATAGTGAAAAATACCTGGGATCTAGTCGTAAAGGGGGTTCTGAAAACTACTAACACATGACCGGTTAAATTCTATCCTCAAATAACTACTTACAGAAAATTTAGCCTCAAGTTGCATTGGGGTCGAACAGACCCCATGTGACCGTTGAGTGTTAAAGTTATAGCCGTTTCTGTAAGACTGCAAACGGTTAATATTTCGTACAATGACCCAATCACTGTGAAAGCTCGTTAAAAAAAAACAAGAGTAACGCTCCAGTACCTCTCTTTACAAATCTCATTATCCACGGGGTTTAATTAACGGTCGACTCCGCGGCAGCGAATGAACGGGAATACCCTCTTGCGGTGGAAAGTGAACGCGAAGGAATTCGTCAGCGTCGCAATTAGCGAGGCTTCTTAAAATCCCTCGACAATTAGCGCGTTCGTCAACGACAGCAGACAACCCTCAGACGTAGGAAATGGAAAGAAAAAAGAATGAACGGCGTTGCGGAGTTCATTTAAGGAACGTGTCCACTTGGGGCCGGTCGCGGAAGAGTATTTCGGTCTTCCCATGGCCGGCTCTCAAGCCCGAGAGGGTCACCAGGTGGTTTTTAGTGGGTAAAAATCCCACATAGATGAGGAAAATCCGTCATTCCATCTCTCAGGAAGGGTCCACCCGTCATAGTATCAAACAAAAAAAAATAAGTCGATCATGCGTAACTCACCCTGTGTAGCGTCTCTGCTGTTCCGTTGCAGATGTCACGCGACATGTGTCCTAGTGTATACGTAGCTTAAGTTGCGCCTCGGCCACTCGAGACTCAAAGCGTGGATACCTCCGCGCGCGTGGCCAAGCACACGGATGAAAGTGCACCACCCGCAGCACAGTCCGTTACAGTTTTGCCGGAAGACTCCTGGTAGAAGAAAATCGGAATTGTATTAATTGTTACGGCGGTTCGCGTTCCGTCGTGTTAATTAACGCGCAATTACGGAGTGGAGAATCTATTAGGATGGATCGGTCTCTGTATGTAGGAATCATGCATGGACTAAACTTAGGTGCGTTTAACGTTTTGCTTTGATTAGAAAGTAGAGCTGATAGAAGTTGGGAAGTCAAAGAACCATTGTTACGTGCGTTTTGGACAACTAATTGGGTCACGAGGAGGAGGTACAGGGTCAGAGAAAATAGTTTGCAGTACAAATTATTCTAATTGCAAAAAGAAAAAAAAACAGTTGAATATAAAAAGTGTTTTTGCGAATGGTGGAACTAGAACGGTAAAATTAACGGTATTTAAAATGAAATACTGACAGAAAGATATATATCTTTATTCATTTTTAAAATTTAGTTTTTATTTCTATGAATTATTATCTACATATTCTAAACTTTCAACATTTTCGTAATGCCTTATTATATTTATTTCATATTCGATGAGTGTCCTAATATTTATGAACTGAAGTGTAGATACATAGCAATCAGTCTAGCAAAACTTTATTCGAAAGAATCATTTCACATGTAACAATAAAATACAACAAGCGATATGCCTTAGCACAGACAGTTTCCTAGGTCATAAATGCTATTACAGTTTCCGGTGATCTATCCTCCTCCGAACAAGAGATTTCAATCTAATGCGTCAAATGGTTTATAAGTCGGCGAGGAACCGACGGTTTTCAGTAATTTGAACTTACTAAACCGCGAATCCTTTAAATTGGCAATTAGTTGTTACTGATATAGATCATAATCCAATGAGACATTGGCCGGAGAATTTTTCCATTTTCCTTAATTCAGTCCACGAAAGTCTACATTCGTATGAACATTCACAGTCTATTCATCGATAAAGTTTGAAGCTTTCATGGACCACAGCATGACTGTTTCTTTCTCTAACAATAAAACAAATTATTCAAAAATCATTCAAAAATGATCGACGATACGTCCCCGGTAATTATTGGAACTGGTATCGATCGTTGAAAGTATAATCCATAGTCTTTGAAACTGAATCCGTGCGCAATAGATATTCGATATCCTGCAAAACGATTCAGCCCGTAATTTGTTCTACATATCCGACGGTATAACGTCGTAATTCTAGATACTGAGCACCAGAAACTGGACTACAGCTGTTCCTTCAACACGTCCACGCCGACGTGACCCATCCGGTGGATCGTGTGTATACAGATAGTATTAGTCCGTAACAAAGAAAATATTGGTCTTTCAAATAGCACTTTATATTCTCTTTTATTTCAACGGATTTCATTAGTCGAAGCATGGTTATTGACGTTCCTCGATGGAACACAGATAAGTGCGTAAAATTATTTTTATAAAAAAGAAATTTAGAATTCTATATTTTGACGTAATTTATGGACCTAGTGTTAATCATTCTGACTGGTTATTTCATGTAAAATAGCTCGATACCAAAGCACAAGTACCAGTGGTATCGCTCTGTATTTTCGCACGAAAGCGACATCGTAACCAGCGGGCCGACACGAACACATCGTTGTTCTATTTGCCGTCGTGGAATCCTCGCACGAATTCGAAGAGCTTGGGCGTTGCACAACGGCGAAAAAGCGCGTTTCGACGAGTGAGAGCCGCCGTCCGGATAGGTCACTGGTTACGCGTTAAAAAAAGAAACTGAATAAAGTCTTCGCGTAAATTTGGTACGAACTGGGGCAATCGAGGCGCTGCCTCCGACCTCGCACCATACCCCACGGATTCGTTCAATACCGAAAGCGCGAGGAGCAGAGGCGTCGATGACGTCTTTCGGACGCCTTAAAAATTCGAGCAACTTCCACGAAATGCGCTACAGTAGACTCGCGTTAAAGTAGCGGTAGAAAAACCCCCAGTTACACGCATTACTCACACACGTGCACGCACCCCACTATCGGTCGCCATCTGTAACCAAAGTTCTGATCCAATTGGTGGATCGATCGACCTGCCACGAGATCCTGCATGCCCATTGGCTCACGTTAAAGTAGCGTTACCAGGAAAAACCCGTCTCGAGAGACCTGCACTATGCTACTTTAACGTGAGTCTACTGTACTTTCAATTCTACGACGGTAGTAGAATATTAATATTTAACATTTCAGAGTAAATGTACACTTGGAATTAGTATATAATTCTTTTTGTTTCTTGGAAGCTAGTAATAGTAAAATATTTCTGAAGACTGTAGACGTCAAGAAAATCGTAAGGCAAGGGGTTAACCCTCTGCGGCCTTATGTAGAGAGGAATTGGGTTCATTCAGGTGGAAACAGTGTAAAGGAAGAAAATTAAAATATAGGTGCCAAGCGTGTGCTTTCATACTATTTAGAACAAATACAAGTACTTTAATGAAAGTAGACATTTTTTTGCAGCACTCTATTGTGTTTATGTCGCTTAAAGGATTAACCCAACTATGACGATACAGTTTACTGGAAAAGAAGAAAGCAGAAAGACCCGACAGTTCTCTTTCACCAGTAAACACAGTGTATGCAGTGAATCAAAATCGTTAAATGCGATGATATAATAAGCGGCCGCGACAAAAATAAAACGTCTCTTCGATGGTTTCGCTGCCAAGAAACGAAAATGGGGTTAAAACTCAATCCGAGGGTAGAAATTCGATACGCTGGACGACGGAGGCATTAATCTTTCGGTGATTAAAGTCGACATACTTCATTTTAACGCGTCTCTGACGGATCAAAAGGATGCACAAATTTTTTTTGTGTTTTCGACACCGTATTATTTGAAAATGAGTACATTGGTTACCCAGGTATCCGGTTGCCTACACAAGGATAAATGAGTTTTTGTTTTTTTTTTTAAACGACGTGTTGAAGTGTCAGCTTTTAGAATACGTATGTGTGTATTCGGAAAATAATTCCAGAAGAACGTGGCTCACACCCGAAGCCTCAACAGTAAGAATTGCATTGTCTTTTTAATTTTCTTCCATTAAGTGAACGTTCCATCTGAAACTCTTGCAACCCCCATTACTCAGCCCTTTTATTTTCAACCAAAATGATTTTATACCCCGATTTATACAACGTTCACTCAGAAGATACCAATTAATCTCACAAATCGAGGGTTAGGTGTGCTCTATTAATAGCCACGAAACGTTAATAACAATATCGATCACAGAACTACCCCGAATTCGGTGCGAAGACCTCAAAGGCGCCGGAAGACGGACTCGAGGAAGTAAAAGAGTTATCGCGATGTAAATGCAAATCGGTGGAACACGGAGGGCCAGTTCCAAGTGGATCGATGAAGCAAGACGATTACCGGATAAGGTTATCGCGCGAATGCTGTCCGACCGCACGGTAGTCGGCTTCTTCGATCTACGTAATTAACGCACGCAGCCACGAGTACGTTGCCTGATAAGGATGTCAATCAAGAAAGTAGGAAAAAAAACATCGTATTTCCAAAACGGTGAAGATTCTATGTCGATATTCGGCGCGATCATAATTTAACATGTTCGCTGGTGAAAACGAGCGAACTCGTCACTTGATAATAATTCCTCACTGGGAAAGACAAGTTAATAGATGCCTCTTACAGATTTTTCTGAGCCGAATACGAATCTGCAAACCGTTTTTTTATCCAGAATGTACAGTTTTTGAAAAAAGCAATTTTAAATATTATGGTTAGATTTTTTTCTGATTAATTAATTAATCTTATAATAAATCTCATGTACTGATCCGTAAGTAATTCTGAAAAATTACTTTACAGACAACCGACAATTTTTTTATCATTTTGCTCCCTCCGGATTTATCTTCGCTGGGATCTGTTCCTGAAGGAAAAGAACCGTTTCCTCTTATAAGAGACTTTTCCGGAAGTCGTGCGCGAGCATGATAACGCATTTTTTTTTCTACACATCATTTAGTAAACTAATGTTCCTAACTTAACAAAACGACTCAAGTTACTTGGACCAATTTTAAAAAAGTTGTTTTACTTTAAAGGGTGTGCGAATACTTTCCTTACCCACTATACATATAACGTTAACGCTGGCCAGCGAAGGGCTAATTCGAAGTGGACGATAACAGCAACACGGCGAACGACAGACAGAGACAGATAACCGCTTAGCCGCGATATCGCTTATCGTGCTGGGGCGGTCTTGTGTCTCTTTCTACGTCGAGCGACAGGTTCGCCGCCCGTTTGTGGATACTACACTCGACTCCGATGATTCACGGGTGCGCCGTTTGTTTTATAATCCCGTCTAATCAGATCGCTCATTTTTCGAGTACGAATGTACATGTACTTATTTGGTAACGAGATAGCTGGACTTGGCTGTTGACGATAATAATACGGAGCGATGGAGATTGTAACCTACGTATGTCGAAAAGTTAGTAGTTCAGGAGATATTTCAACTAAATAATTCTAAAATACCATTACTGGCGTACTTTATTATCATTCCTGTAAATAAACGCTAACGTCTTAGTACTGGGTGATCAAGGTAGCTGAGACACCCTGTATATCTATCTATACCAAACGCTCCCATTTTCCTGTCGTTACGGTATACATTGTACCGTACAGTTCACTTTGTCCGGTACAATTCACTTTGCATAAATAACAAGCTTCAATTAACCATTGAACCCCGGGGGTAGACGTCTCGTTCATTATCCCCCTCCCCGTCGTGCGTCGGCGCGATTATGATCGTCGATGGGGCCACGATTTAACGGCACGGTTTAACATATAAAAGACGATCTCACGGTTTTATGAAGAACGCGTACCAGGGGACTGGGGAGAGAGCTAGAAACGACGGCTCGCGAAAACGTACGCGTAGGTAATTGCGGATAATTGCAACGGTGAACATTTTCACGCAATCATCCGAAAGGAGTACATGTTCTATAGAGGCTTAACGACGCTATCGTAATCAAGGTGGCTCGCAATAATGCGAAGTATCGTGTTGAATTATAGGCAACAACAGCGCAAGGACGCGGGAAACCGAGCCGTTTAGCATAC